AATACCTGAAAGACACCTGCCCCCAAATGCAAAAAGAATCCCAGAAGGAAAAATGTCAAGGGCAAGGGTAAAGCACAGGAAGAGGGAGTGGCAGGATGATAGTGCAGATGATAGTGCAGACAACAGCACATGATGACAGTTTGGATGATCACAGCGAGGCTGAGGTGAGTGATGTTGGAACAGATGGTCCCTCTGCTGAAAAAGGTGTGCCATGTGTGATTTTCATGCATGACAGATCAGCACTAATGTGATTCTGGTCTTCAGGTATTTGGCAGGAGCATTGCCTACTAAATCTTACATTAAATTTTGCAGCTTCAGATCAACAGTTCTCCAGTTGCAACTGGTCTAGGTAGTAGGTTGTCCATCCATAGTGATTGACACATGGGAATGTGCACCAACTAATGTACATTGGCACACATGTAGTATGCCAGGCATGCTCTGTCACCATCTACAGCTCCCACCCCATGCTCCAATGCTGAACCTGAAAAATGCAATGATCATCCCTGGGTTGTAGCACAGCCATGGATTCAACATTGGAATGACAAAGTCCAAGGGTGGGTAGTCACCCACCATTACCAGCATGTCATACCATGGATCCTGTCCATTGATATCCCTGTGGTAACAAGTTGCCCAATTCACCATCACAGACATGCTGCTATACATGGAGCTCATATCTGAAATCTGCCCACTGTTCTGCCTGTTGCACCAAGGCAGATCAATGCTTCCCTGCCATCTGCATACATTTGCAGATGGATGACATGCAGGATTGCACAGATAACAGAGCATTGGTGTCAGACATTTGGTCCAACCCATTCCCTTGTAGAAGTGTTTTCTGTCCTGGATTTGAGCAGCTGTGAGGCTTCCAGGAAGCCATTTTGGGGCTTCAAGACAGATGAGCACTTTATTCACAAGGAAAGAAATGATCACCCACCCCATGACCCTGTTGAAACCATGCATGTGATAGGTTGATGGTGCCCATTCAACTCAGCATTATTGTGGAAATATGACTTGTCCATCTGCCATGCCTGCTGGGGAAGCCTTTATGCTCTCCTGCAGTGGTTCCCTCAGAAGATGAAGGTAGGTTCCATATGTTGGCCTTGCCATTCCATTAAGTCAGTAGAATATGAGATTCTGCATTCCCTTACCCTTCTTTTTGGGCTGAGAGCATCTGGCAAATACCAAATGTGGATGGTGTTTGAGTCAGGTCACCAGAATGGATGGCTCAGTCACTTCTGCATATCTCTCAGCAGCTTCTGCATTGCAGGTTTTTCCACCCCAATTTTTCCCAACATTGACTGCGGACAGATGAAAACTTCCATTGCACCATTATGATGGACTTACTTGGGCAACTGATAGGCCTGTGAGATTACTGATGATATGCTGATCCACTTCACATAATACTGGAAATGGAATTGATATATCTGGAAGGGCATGAGGTCTGCTGAATACCTCCTCTTGAGATCTGGCTTTCATGTATGATGCAATGCAGTCTGTTAGTTCCATTCACCATCCATGGGGGGTTTTAGATGTGTCTTGCATAGTATTCATGCTTGGGGTGGATGAGATCAGAGTTGTATAGTGGGCAAGCCACTTGCAGCTTGTTGGAAAATTATGGCATGTTGTGACACTTGCCTCAATATTTTGCAGTGATCTGATCAATATGTTGTGATGCTATACATGCTATTGGTGTTGGGCCTGTCTTATGCTGTGACAGGGATGGATCTTAATAGATGGACCCATCCTTGTTTTATGGCAATATAAAAGATATTACTGAAGGGCCCATCCATACATTATGACCATATAAATAATACTGCTGAAGGGCCTGTCCTTATATTGTGACTGCATAAATGATACTGCTGAAGGGCCCTTCCATATGTTGTGATGCTATAAATGATATTACTGATGGGCCCATCTTTATGTTGTGACAGGGGTACATCTTACTAGATGGGCCTGTCTATGTGTTGCAACACTGTAAATGATATTACTGATGGGCCCATCTTTATGTTGTGACAGGCATACATCTTGCTATTGATGGGCCCATCCATGTGTTGTGACTGTGTAATTGATATTACTGATGGGCCTGTCTTATGTTGTGACAGGGGCATATCTTACTAGACAGGCCTGTCCATCTGTTGTGACAATGTAATTGATAATACTGACTGGCCCATCTTTATGTTGTGACATGGGTGCATCTTACTAGATGGGCCTATCCATGTGTTGTGACCCTGTAAATGATATATATTGAAGGGCCTGTCTTTATGTTGCAACAGGTACATCTTACTATGGACAGGCCTGCCCATGTGTTGTGATGGTATAAATGATATTACAGAAGGGCCTGTCCATATGTTGTGACAGGGGTGCATCTTACTGGATGGGCCCATCTATGTGTTGTGATGCTGCAAATGATATTACTGATGGGCCCACCTTTATGTTGTGACAGGGGTGCATCTTACTGGATGGGCCCATCTATGTGTTGTGACACTGTAAATGATATTACTGACAGGCCTGTCTTTATGTTGTGACAGGCATACATGTTGCTATTGACAGGCCTGTCCTTATGTTGGGACAGGGGCATATCTTACTAGACAGGCCCATCTATGTGTTGTGACACTGTCAATGATATTACTGATGGGCCCATCCTTATGTTGCAACAGGTGTACATCTTGCTATGGACAGGCCCATCTATATGTTGTAACAGGGGTATATTATCCCAAAGACAGGCCCTTCCATATGTTGCCAACTCTGTAGTCTATCATAGAGGGGCCCCTCTTTATGTTGTGACCCTATAAAGCATATGATGGGCAGGCCCATCCATATGTTGCAACCTTCTTCATGATACAATAGGTGGGCCCATCCTGATATTGTGACTGGGGTGCACCCTACCATGGACAGGCCTGTCCATGTCTTACAGTAGCTCAGCATACTTACTTGGTCATGGGCCCATCTATATGTTGCAGCATCCTTACCCTCCACAGGCCCTCCCATATGTTGTGGAATTGTGCTCATGGGCCCATACATATGTTGCTCTCACTATAGGCCCTCAGGCCTGTCCATGTGTCATGGCTAATCTATTTAGATGGGCCCATTGTGGGGTCTATATAAGTGTTGGCATTTTGGCATGCAGGCTACCTATATGTTGTGACTAAATGGACTACATGGGGTTGTCCTTTGCCCATTGCTGGAGTTTTTCTGGGTATTCACTGACAAGTTTTTGCTCCATAGCTGTGGGCTTCCAGGAGGAGTCTTTTCCTGCTGAAGGGTCCTCTGGTTTCACATCCAAGCTGGTCAGGTGTCCAATCAGCCCTTTTGAACTGAGAGCCCATTCAACCCAAGCCTTGTAGTATAGCCAGTTGCTTCCATCTGCATTTAGGGTTGGGACTTGTAAGGAATGATCATCTTTTGCCATAGTGGGTATTGTTGCTGTTTAATAACTCTTTCAGAATTAGAGCATGAGAGTGGGGCTCATAACCTAATGAAGTTATGAGTATCTCAGTGTATGAAGAAGTCACTATATTAGTACCTAACAAAGTTATGAGTATCTACACTATGTCAGTACCAAGTAAACAAATGTAAGTATAAGTATGCTCACCTCAGTGTATGAAGAAGTCACTGAGGTGGAAAAGAACAGTGCAGAAAATTTATAGTACCATAATTAGTAAGCATAGTGACATCCAAATTTAATTCTGAGGGTTGGGGAGAAATTCTGAGCCCTCTGGGCAAAACTCCAAGCATCAGTAAATCACTTTTTCTGGCCAGAGCTGGCCAGAGCTGTCCAGCACTGGACAGATTCCCTAGGACTACCAGCACACAAAGTGGTCTACTGATGAGAGGCTACCATAATTCCAGAATGCATTCTCAACAGGAATGCCAAGATAAATGTGATGGGTCTGCTATTTGTAACAATCACAAGTGCTGATTGGTTTAATAGCTCTACAGCATGGAGACACCCCTTCACCTCCCCTCACTAACACATAGTCCCCTCTTCTGTCTGACAATATTCTTTGATACCTTATGCTATATTTGAGATGGACTCCCAACAACCAACCCCATTTCTCACAGCCTGCCTTATGCATAGCAGGTACCTTCGAACATTGTCCTGAAGCACTTGAGTCCCTCAATATGGTCATCTACACCCATGGTAGGATGGGGCATTATGATAGTACTTGAACCCCTATCTTTTCGGATTCACATGAGCCCTCCAGATGGTCCAAGATCTAGTACATAGTTTCAATGGTCTGATTGGTACATGCACCTTTTCTTGGTCTGCCATCCTGTCTCCTAAGGGAAAATAGCTGTGCAAAGACTTTTCTGAATGTTCGAAACAGGACTTTATCCTGGGATCATCTATCATCTTTCACAGACACCTTTACAGGTGATGTCAATCAAACGAGGAGCAACTTATAACTTGTTATTATTAGCAACTACTTCATAGCTGGTATATGCATTCAGAACTCATATTTGAAGTGCGATGTATTTCTCTGCAGCCATGATCTTAGGGGCATTTAGTGGTCTACTTGCAGTAAACTTGCTTGCTTCACTTTGAGATTTAACATTGATTATATGCCAATGACAGGCAGCAATATCAGACATGAACAGTGTAGGTGGTAAACAGGAGAAGAGTGCACTGTTGTTATTCATTGGCTGCAGGGTGATGACCAGTTCAGTGCCACAGGAGAAAAGTTGAAGTGCAAGTATATTAAGAAGAGTCTGACTGAGTGAAAGATGTATGTTACCAGTGAGTCATGGTCTCTGTTGCCCAGTGCAGGTAGTTAGACTGGTTTCAGTGTTGATGTCCTTTTTTCATTGAAAGTGTCCTCAAACTAAAATGCTCCTGCAGCACCATCCTTCATGACACCATGAAGTGCCTGACACTTCTTCGGACTACAAGCAACCCCTGCGAACCCACCAACTGTCCCGGTATATGTTGCTGCATGTATATCCACATGTACCATTGGCTTTTTAGCTGATCAGTATGATAATCGAAGATTATTCAACCTGTACATTCGAATCAGCTGTCAGTGATTGCCAGTCGAATTTTGGTTTTGATTCGTGGTTATTCATTAACTGTAGCATGCTTTTGTGTTGGTATACAGGTCACAGACTGAAACGAGATCCCCCTCAGCTGCAGAGGGTAGATTATTCTGGTCATCAGTTGGTAAGCTATCAGAGAGGCAAGAATTTCGATTTCCCCCATTTACAGGGGTAATATTCAGAGGGCAGTCGGCCGTAGTATCTACCGTGCAAACCAGACACCGTAGTATCCATTGGGCCATGGTGCATCGTAACTGGGTTGATCGCGGTGAGTTCATGGCAGAGTCAAAAACACAATGGACGGTGTAGCGGAAGCGAAGAGGGAGAGTACTCTTGACAGTAACGCACGGACCAGCGTGCGGGGATAAGCGTTGTCTCCCATCAGAAGTCCCCGTCAAACTCCGCGCCTGCCCTAAACACCATGACCCAATTTGGAAGGTAGTTTAAACATAGCGCCCGTCTGCGTTGTTGCCTCTTCTCCAGTTATTTCTATCTCCCCCCTTTTATACCCTCCCTTCGTTCCCCGTTCCTTGTGTTATTAGACAAAAAAGACAAAATGGGTCGACCTCTCTTCTCAAAAACATTGCGGTCCACTCCCGTGGTCAGAGAACCAGAAGACGGCTCCTGTCCTTACGAGAAGTGGTCCTACGTAAATGCTTTTGATCCCGACTCCGACGAGTTCCATGAAACCGCCGTCTACGAGGACTTCGTTGGCCCCGCAGAATCGGCTCACTTGGAGGAGGACGTAGAAGAAGAGGACAGGGATGCATTGGTTGTCAGGTTGGGGTCCTTTGATTCCATCTCTACTACGAGCTTAAGTAGCCTCAGTGATAGGGACTATCCCGTTGACAGCTGGTAATGACGATCCCGCGAACCTCGCAGATGACTTTCAAGATCTTAGGGAGATGGAGAATACCGAAACCGCTCTCACTACTTCCGGCTCTCGCATCCACCTCGACGAACTGAGATGGGATCCAGTTCCATCTGCGCGTGACGGGCGTCTGCATACTGCGTCGATACCATCACCTCGTACCGTGACGTCTTCGTTACTGACTGGAGCCCCAGTCCATCGTCGCGATCATTCAGATTACGCCGGGCGCAGAGACACCACCTCTATCCCTCCCCGTAGTGCACCTATTCCTGTGCCAGTTCTTCGTTCTCGTCGTACTGTGGCTATCGACGATCGCACCCCTGTCACACCGCCGCGTCAGACCCCTGTTGCCCTCTCCCCACCCCCAACTGTTACCCCCCGTCTCTACTCCTGGGGCCGCGCCCCTGTTTCCCCATCCTCAGGCAGTCCTTTCACTAACCCCGCTGCCCGCACATCCTACACTCACCTTTCTCCGGCTATTATTCGTCTTCGAGACGTGGTTTTCTAAAAACAAACAGACCACACAGTTCACTAGATCTCTGTCCTCTTTATTCCATTGCAGCGGCATTAACACTCGTTATAAACTCACTTCTACGCACATCTAATCATTCACTTATGCTTTATATACAATGACAACGAGAGCATATTCATGCCTCGCCTGTACCATCGTGTCCCCAGTATAGTTATTGTGTTGATGGCAGTGATTAGATTAGAAATGCGTCAATTTGATCTGCATCTTAGGCTCTCAACTGCTTCATTCAGCCCCAGCGAGCGTCCCATTTCCCAATAATTTGCCCTGATGTCCATGTGTTGTTCGTCAGAATCAAACAAAGTGTGTCTTCTCCATCAGGGCGCGGCGCTCGCAAGGGCGTATCCTTCATCTCGGCAAGCTCCGAAGGTGTGATGCAAGAAACAGGAGCTGCCGGGTTTGAGTGCATGATTACTGTGGTCAAAGAATCGTCGCCAGATGGACACGTTGTCGCGAGCGATCTACCTCAATTACTTTAAAATGCAACCTATCGATGCATGGTCCGAGACTTACGTTGCAGTCGTCAGCACCGATTTCACAAACTCGCTGTCCATCGTGCCTCTCCAGCGGATGTGGGTAAGATTCCCTACCTGTGATGGCGTAGGAACGTCGTACACGGCAACGTATGGATCGACACGATCGTTTGCTCTGAGTCTTTCACAAAGGCACAAATTCGCTTAGTTAATTCGGTTGGTAACTGACTTTATATCCGCGGTGTCGCACCTTTGAGCACCCAAGCACACCATGCCCGCCCACTCGAATACCTCACTCACTCTTTCCTTCCATTCCTCTTGGTTCTTCTCTTTCCCCAGAACGATCCCCGGATTTGGAATGAACACGCCATCGTAGTGCAAAATTTGTGGCCTAACATGCATTACTTGGGGCAAAGGTTCCGTCACTAATCCTACAAGTCCCAGCTTTAGCACATAAGTTCATGGGTGCACCCATTACAATCACATTACCTCCACCAACGTATGCGATTTCCCATCTCCCCAGCTCCCGTTGTGCGCGGAGCTCGTCCCATGTCTTCATTGCCATCCGCTGCCTCTCGCGTACGGCAACACTCCCAATATTCTGTCTTAGAGGGATTTTGATGACTGTGCTAGAACACGGTTCACTTTCTCTTTCTGACCAAAAAACGACCGAGCAAAAAATGCCTACGAACCGTGAAGTTCTTGACATCCTTTGAAAGGAAGCTTTTTTCCAACGAGTCCTAGTTTTTCATAGAGCTGCTTCGAGACGCAGAGTGTAAGAACGCCTCGCGGATCGATGCACCAAGTGCCATCCGGATCGCAAGTAACAGGAAGTGCCTTTAGAGGACTACAATCACCGTCAGAAACGGCAACCTTAATTTTTCAAAATGGACGGATACCGACCCGTTCGCCAGCGAATCGTGGCCAGCTTGGTTGAAAAGCTCTGAGAGAGTAAACTGGGCTCTGTCATACGATGTTACTAATGAAGAGAATTCCTTTTCGAAATGCTCAGACGATGGAAACACAACGTCGATCTTCCCAGCTTGGACGTCAGTTAAAGATACTTGATAGAAGATGCTAGGTTAACTGGAGACGGACCTGCTGAACGAAGGGACGTGACACTGCCAAATTGTCCAGTTGTGAGGATCGCAGCTCACCGCTGCTTATCATCACTCTGGATGATTGCATGTTGGACGAGTTTTCAGCGTATGTATCAAGTCACCGGGGAAATCTGGACAAGCGGCCCCTCGCTGTACAGCCACATAAATATGCAGTCAGGGGTTATTACCCACTGTGCATCTATATCAATCAACTGACGATGGTACCAGAGTCCCCAATGACGATGTTATCGACAAGTCGTGTCTTGCCTACCCACAACATCCCAGTAAGAAGGATGGGGTTAGTACCACCCAACGATCTAGATCCCTTATGCAACTTCCCGTCCAACACTTCGAAAGAACCCGCGTCATTCATTTCGACGTATTCCAGCTTCATCTCAACACCTTTCGATGCTGCCTTTGTTTTACCTTGTTCCACGACAGCTGCAGCTGCGGATATAGATTTTTCTTTCGTCTCTCCACGAGTCCAAGCGGTCTCCGCGGCCTGCAGTGCTCTGTACAGGGTGCCGGCACATGAACGTTCATCAACCGAGAGATACGCATTCCGCGACGAAAGTGCGACACCGTCGATAGGATCTCTCACGGTCCGGACGATATGCACACGTTTCGCATCTGGGTCTGCCAACAACAAATCACGGCATAACTGGCGGATCATGAGAGCCTGTTGGATATCTTTCTGTCCGAGATACACATTCGTTGGCTGTCGAATAGTAATGTCAAGGGAAAGAAAAACTTTCGGGGGTACACGGAAGCTAGACCTACCTGTACTACGTTAAATAACTTCGTGACAATCGTAGCAATTGCACGGTACAGAGTTGGTCGAATCGCGCCTTCCATTTGGTGACTGCAACCCTCCACCTCCACGAAGGTACCTTTCTGGGATGCGACATCTCTGGTGATGCCAGACGGGTGCATTTCTTGTACGCCGGGAAGAAACACCGCTGACGTTGTCCGAAGAACATTCCCAACGGACACTTGCCCGCTCGCAAGTTGCTCGAGATCTCGTGACAACATGCGAGGGTATTTTTCGAAATCTTCACCAGGCGCAAATTGGCCTGGATTCACGAATATAGAAACGATGGTTAGGTCATTCTCGGAAAGAGACCTCCGCACTGAAGCTCGAAGAATGCCAGGGTTAGATACTTGTCCAGAGTCCAGACATTCTATAAGGCGCACTTACAAAGTGACAAATGACCTTCGTGGAAGGCGCCCATGGTCGGAACAAAACCCACCGATTTCTTCTCGTCGTATGCTTTCAGCCTCCATGTTCTGCAGGATGCGACAGACTCTAATATTGGAATGGTCGTAGGGGGAAGCCCCGAGAATTGCCTTCGAAGTCGACACAGCTGCCAAGACACTCGGTGATTTTTCGGGAGCAGGAGCAGTGGCATCCCGAACAGAGTGTGCCAACAAGCAAGTGGTGAAACTCGAAGGCTGGGGGGCCAGAGCGACAGACGGTGCCAGTTTATATGCCTACTTAGACTGGGAATCCATGACTGAGAATGACAGATGCAGCAGACTACGTGGTGAATCACATCATGTTTGTGGACAAACGCCCACCAGTTACGTAGCAGAGAAGCATAAGAAACAAATGCCATTCATGAGGGACAATACTTATATGACAATCAGAATGCACGTTGGCACACATAGCCCCTGGGTGTTCAAACCTATTAAGTCGATCTGAACGGGAATCTTACCTGATGACCTGTGAATAGCTGTGGGGATAACGATAACCCCAATACATTTGTATTTCCGCTGGTAGTTGCCGTTATTGTTGCTAGCAAACAACGGTGCGCAGTGTAGTAAGCGGATGTTTTGACTTTGGTGTCGGAAGGAGTTTTCGCAGGAAACAGCATATCAGGGACGATAGGACACTAGTTATTTCCTCGTGGTCAATTTACCATGGTGCCGTGGCCTCCGAGGATGATGTTATCGATCAATCTCGTCTTACCGACCCATAGAGCCCCGCTCAAGATCACTGGGGTCCTCTCCAGTGACTCGGAGTCCTTGCGAGCCTCGCCGTCTAGTATCCCGAAGGTATCCGAATGGTTCATCTCGATGTAGTCCAGCTCCACCGTCACGCCTTTCAACGTTGCCTGCTCTCTACCTCGTTCGATGATCGTGACAGCTGCAGATACAGACTGTTCTTTCGTTCCTCCCTGAGACCAAGTTGATTCGGCGCACTGTAACGCTTGGTATAGTGTACCGGCGAACAGGCGCTCGTCAGCCGAGAGGTACGCGTTTCGGGATGACAGGGCCAAGCCGTCGACGGGATCCCTCGCCGTCGGGACGATATGCAAGTGATCCATGTCTGGGTATGTGAAAAGCAAGTCGCTGCACAACTTGCGGAGCAATAGGGCTTGCTGAATATCCTTTTGCCCGAAATACGCGTTCGTCGGCTTGTGAAATAAATGGAATGTTAAGATAAAATAAAATAAAACGGAAAGCAACTTGCCTGGACGAGGTTAAATAGCTTCGTAACCACGGTGGCTACTCCGCGAAAGAATGTTGGGCGGCTTTTACCTTCCATTTGGTGGCTATAACCTTTCACCTCTACGAAAGTACCATTCTGGGATTCAACGTCTTGGCTGATGCCCGATGGATACATGTCCCGGACACCTGGTAGAAACACCGCTGATGGTTTCCGCACGGTGTTTGTGACGTGTAACTCTTGTGCAGCGAGTAATTCGAGATCCCGGGGCAACGTGCGAGGGTATGTGGCAAGGTCTTCATGGGGAGCGAATTGTGCAGGATTCACGAATATGGAAACGATAGTCAGGTCGTTCTCAGCAAGAGACCTTCGAACTGATGAGCAGGTTCGGGAGTCATTATGCCAGCAAACACTTTAAAAGCTAAAACACAATTACCGAGTGAGAGATGGCCCTCGTGAAGTGCACCCATAGTTGGCACGAAGCCGACTGATTTTGCTTCACTAAGAGCCTTTCGCCTCCATGCTCTGCAGGACGCGACTGAGTCCAAGATAAGAATGGGCGACGAAGGAAGAGACATTTCGGGGTAGGCGAACTGATAAACCCCTCGACGGCCAAGCACAGTTGACGAGAAAGGACTGATCAGTCTCTCTGTTGTGTTGATGTGGTTTAAGTCAAAATTCGACGTTGTCTATCCCCCGATAGCCCCGAAACGTTGCTTTGTAGCCTCTCACTAGCGCTCTCAACGACATCTGTTCTGCCACGCCTGCTATTCCCTTCGCGGCTCGTATCCTCTTTGAATCCACTTTACTTTAACGCAGTACCATGTAGCTGCTTATCTATTGCTTATACTACAGACCAACATCCTATTGCCTCTCTTTGCCCCTGTATCGGGTCTGCGCACTGCCCTGATCCACTGGTTCTGTGGAGTGCTGTTCTGGGTATTACTTGCTAGGTATCAGGGTAAGTTTCCATGCATGCATGAAATGCCACGGTCCTGTTTTTCCCTCGAGTGGTATGGCGGTGACATTTTGCTCAATACCCACTTTTAGTGTTCGAGTGCATCGGCATCAGGAATTCATCGACGAGGTTATCAAATAGGTGATGAATGTGACAATACTGACGCGCTCATCACCCGTTCAGTAGCCTCAGCAGATAACAAGCTACCACTCAAAGGGACTAACAAGACTGTGGTACGAGTTTGTACCGCTTTACTGTAGCTCTTTCCGAGGTCCAACCTGCTGAGGCTAAAGGTCATCGATCGTCGCTTATAGCCCCCATATCTGGATCGTAGACAGTGCGGTACCAACAAACTAGCGGAAGGATCCTCGCCGCTTCTTCGTTGCGAGTCTTCAAGCAATCTGCATCTTCCATTCCATGTGGTTGACCTTCGTCCCCTCTCCTCTTACCATCTTCTCAAATACCGCCACTTTAACGAATCCATTCTTTTCAAGAACGCGTTCACCGCCAATATTACCTGCAAACGTGAACGCGGCGATATACCGTCCATTCATTCTGGGAACTATTCACCCATGCACCATTTGGCCGATAACAGAAGTCATGATTCCTCGGCCATGGTAGTCAGGTAAGAGGACATCTTCATTTCTGGCAAGTCGTCTTGTTCAATCCCCTAGCTGGAATAACTTACTTCGAATAGACCATCGAATAGACGGGTCATCAATTGGCTTCTTCTCGTTCTCCTCTGTGATAGTTCGGCGTTTGGTCTCATCCGGCACGTCCACATATACCCCCCTGTGCACTGTGATATACCCTACGAATACATCCGTGCCATCATTCCGAACTTCCCTGATGCACTTGGCAGGGCAACCACCAACAAACCTGGGATGGCTATTCGTATGCCCTGTGTTGGGGCTGCATATCGTGTTCAACAAGGCGTCTGCTTCATCTTTTGCTTCTCGAAGCATAGCCTGGGCATGGGCCCGCGTGAACGGGATCGATATAGGATAAAGCCAAGTCGCTATCCTGATGTCACTGAAAAGAACGAGATGTTCATCGTCCCCTACTCTAGGAGGCGTGATAATGATGTTTTCATGCGGCGAGGAAAGACGCAAGGAAGGTTCTTTTGCCACAGGATTAATCTGCAAATGCAAAGAAGCCTCGTTGCCCATTTGATGCGTTAGCGCTAGGGCGTGGTACAGGACAGGTCCGGCGTGTTGCTGTACACACTCTGAAGCACCTGGATCTCGATTTATACTGCTGGGAAGCAGTGTTGGATCCCATCAATAAATGAGAATGGATGGGATCCATTGTGTTTACCAGACAAGTTTGTGATTAACTTAATTTGTACGCTTCTGATAGAAGCTAGCTTGGCGTTGCTCATGCATGCCTTTCCAGCGCTTCCACTCTATTTCTCTCCCTCCATCCGGCCAGATGGCCCAGCCATCCCTGATCTGTACCCAGTTGGTGAGAGGATGGGTAAGGATAGCCGTTCGAGTTCGGCCAAACACCGAGAGGGGTCGCCTGTACGGCAAAAGCTCTGTGGCAATATAATGGATAATACCAAGGAGTGCCCCGATCGCTAGTCCCCAGGCAACCTGGTTGGGTGTGTGGTAAAGCAGATTGAATCTGAAACGGAAATATAAGAAAACTCTACCGGGAGCGAATGAAGAGAACAACCTCGAATACGCAACGAGCGCCACCCAAGACGCGATCACTACATAGACAACAAGTCGAAATGATTGGTCTAGCACAGCGTTACCTGTGGATGCGAACCGGTGGCGGAAGTACAGGTGGCATATTAAAAACGCGCCGAAATAGCCCATGTACTGACTATGTGATGACGGGAATCCGTACCCATTGAGATGTAATCTGCTGTCTACCTCTGGTATCAACACATGTAAGTAACATCGTCCAGGGCACCGGGCACCCACCTGGAGGGCGATCTTCTTTGAATACGCGCTTCAGGACTATGTTCAATCCCTCCGAAAAGAATTGGCCCGCCCACATGTTGATGATCGTGAGTTCACGTGTTTGCACGGCAAGAGCAGCGTAGGCTGGCTGATGGTTCGGTGTCAATACTGTCCACGGTTGGAATAAAGAAAGAGCTCTTACCATGAGAAGAATGGGACTGAGTGTGAGCAGTGCAAGCACGAGCGAGGTATGCGAGGACCCGTCGTCTGGAATAATGGCTGGTCAGTAGTATTACTAAAGGCATCTCGAAGTTGGCTCACAGACGACATGGGTCAAATCTAACGACACCCGTTCTGCAGCACCTGCCATGACGGCAGTTCCTTGCCTCACTGATTCGACAGGGACCGCGGAAGGATATCTGGTGAACTCACAGATGGTGTGTTGTCAACTTTTCACGTTTCTCTCACGGGAAATTCATTCGGGAACAAATGGTAGTATGTACACCAACATTAGTAGGCGACGCAGCTGTTAGCTGTCTTAACAACTCTTTCGCACTTGAGCCCAGACTCCAGAGTCTCATTGGCCAACGGATGCCTTAGCGAGCGTGTAAGGCGTTTTACAAGCTTCTTTTAAACGGAGGTTGGGCTCCCTCGATGTCAACTTACTATCGGGAAAATGATAACAGTAAATTCCATAAATTCCAAGCATGGGACCATAGGGAAAGCACTATAATACAACAAACGGGACAACATATAGAAGCACTACTTCACAGAGAACCCTGGTGGACAACCGCCACTAAAGCTCCACTGGCTCCTGTGAGCATGAGAAAACTATAAATTACTTGCAACCTTATCGTAGCCTCACGAAGAAAGAGGTACGTAGGTGATGTATCCACTGATACTCGGAGTACTATGATGGAGAATGCAGGATAAAACCATACCTGTCCTTCCCTTCGCAACGCTGTAGTCTTATCGTGGATCGGAACGGCAGTGACATCGATATCAGCCCTTCGCGCACGTCAAACTGTTATTCTCGGTCCGTTGCGCCCTTTCCGTTCCCCGAAAGCTTCGGTAGTTTCGCGACGTGGACAGCATTCATGTGTATATTTGACTTGCCCCAATTCTGGGATCGAAGGTGTTCCCGGGTATTCAGTGATGCTAGAAGTGAATTGGCGTATACTATTCAATAGTAAGCTGGGGAGTTCTCAGGGCACAGAAGACTGACGTTTCGGAATGGTGGTGTTCATTCCCACTGCCCATGCAAGTAAGTCATCGGCATCCTAAACAAAGAGTGAGAGCGCTATCGTCGGCTGGAATAGGTCATACGTACCACTGTGACTTCCGCAACGACAACCAGTCTACCACACAGGCCTTGAGCCAAGTCACTGTTACAAAGGAATCAAACTTACAAAGTGAGAAAACAACGGTTAACAGCATAGATGATAAGTGTGTTCAATAGATTCTTCGTTCTGAGTAGCAGGATTTGTTAGGAAGACAAATGACCGATGCTAACCAAAGTCACCTTGGGACCGCCGAGCGCGAGCCACTTTGATATAAGAGTACGCAGAGTGACACCGTAATCAAAACCTCAGCTAGTGCCATGGCGGACACAGCAGGTAGGGAGGTGTATAGCTAGGAATAATGAGTCGTAAGTTGCTGCACTAATTCCTCTATTATGCAACGAAATCACCCTATTGTGTGTGGCGGCACTGAGTGCGTTGTTGAGGAGCCTACACGTGGGGATCAGTATTCTAGCAAAGATGGGTGAACAAGCCGGAGTACGTTACAACAACTGTCGCTGCTTCTTGTTAGAATAGGTTCTCGCCGTGCAAGAAAGATAGTGGACAAACCTATGCCAAACACTGTTGAATTGAATATCATTATAAGTGCTTCGTGGATGCAATAAAAACACTACCAAAATGAACTATTACTGATAGTATCTGCCATGGTCTTGTTACTGGGTGATACCTTGGTCATCATCAGTAAATGTACTCACAATTGGGATGGTCACCAACCACCTCAGTTGATGGCGACAAACTGAGTGCCGATCAACCAAGTCTCGAGTGGCAGATTGAATATGACATACGGTAATGTATTTTACGCACAAAGAAGCTAGCAATATTTGGTTTATGAGCCTCAAACCACAAAAGAAAGTCACTTACAGTTGAACTATAGAAATCACGAATGACTGGAATAGAGTAAAATCCTGTCATAAAAGCTGAGAGGAAAGGAACGCACATGTACCAGAACTGATGCCTAAACAGGGAAACACTTTAATCAGTGCCTCGTAGAAAAATGGGTATGCACACTGAGAATGACCTGCCGTGTCTCATCAGCAGGAGGGAACTTTGAAATGGAAGGCATACGAACCACGTAAGATGCTCCAAATTCGTCGGCACGCCATAACTGGTTATCTGCAGTGATTAAGCACAATGGTTACAAAAGTCACGCACATGGATTTTACCAAGTAGTAGTACACCATATGACACACTAGTTGACCATTAACCATACATTCACTTATACATATGCACCGAACACTCACCGAAGAAGACATGCAAGGTATCCAGAACCCTGGCATCATGCGAGTGGATTTGACAAATCAAAAGAAGAATTATAAAAATGGTGAATATTCTTCTTCTACCAAGGGGGCCTGACTCACCATATTGCAGCAACCAAGACCTTTGTGGTCGAAGCATCTTCAGAATAGTGCATGTAATACACGTAAGTCTATAATGTAACCAGTAAGCAGAGCACCAAGCTGGATATTCCGTTTAAAACACCCCTGCAGATTTGTTACGCCATATAACCTTCATGTAAATGTGGACATTAGAGAGAAGACTGTGATGGAGTCGAGCAAAGCAAAGCATACAAGGCGGACATCAAAGCCCCGATGAGAATAGAACCTACCACAAACAGATCAGCGGACAAAACCGCGCTTGACAATGAAGTGTATTCACCGAACCCGCCCGGGAGGCCCATGTTGTTTGGGTAACCTTTATATTGCAGACTCGTCAACGAATTAGCTGTGGGTCGTGGATAGAGAAGCAATCGGGGGTGTGCCGACCTGACAATAAGTAATCTGGTTCAACTTTATATGCAAAAGATGAAGGGGCTCAATCAGGTCATCAACAAAGCCATCAGAGTACGTGTTTAATCCATCAACATCAAGCTTCAAGGAAGATCATAATTTGAGAGATTTAGTCTTCAATGCCAACAGCTGATTCCAATAATCTTGTCATTTCTATATTAGCACTGTTTTCATGTATGTACTCGTGGACTATTGCGTAAACTGGCGGCCTCTACCAGGCCTTGCTGAAATCTTCCGTACCTTCCACTAGCAGGTCCCAGACATTTGAGTCGAGTACCATCAAACTAAGCAGACACTCGAGTCGCCTTGCAAGCGAGATTCAATTGTTTTCGCCGTATGACACTTATCACTTGTGAGTACCCTGGCACGAAAATCTGATCATCAGTCATTGCACAGGACGTTTTTGGTGGCATGATGGAAATGGGTGATCCATGCGCCAGGCAATGGTCGTAATATTGTTATGTAAGTGATGAAGGGACCAACCTCGCATACGTGACGAGGGCCATTCAGGAGAACAGATGGCTGAAGTGCAGTGTTTCGTGGTCAGACGCCTTCAGTATCACTCCCTGTACTTCGTATTCAGGAAATGGCAGCAGTAGATTTCGACCATGCCAGGACCACATGAGGCTATAGTAAAGTTATCTTCTGAGCACTATAATACAACGACCACGACGATAGGTAGATGCGCTACTGCATAGGGAATTCAAGCGAACAACCGCCACCAAAGCTCCGAAAACTAAACCACAAACTCCTAAGGACATGAGACTCACTATAAGTTATGACATTATTGCAGCCCCATGAAGAAAGAGGAATGCTGTGTACGTAGGTGACATATCCACTCATACTTGGAATATGATGGCGAATCCAGGGTGCAACCACTAGGATCACACCTTTCCTTCTCTTCGCAGCGCTGTGGTCGCATCATGGGCCGAAACCGCAGCGATATCGATATCAGCCCTTTTACGTATGTTGGAATTCTCTCCTCTCTCCTTTGAACTCTTCCTGTCTCCCGAAAGTTTTGGGAGTTTCGAGACGTGGACAGCATTCATGTATAGATCTGACTTGCCCCAACTCTGGGATCGAAGGTGTTCCCGTGCATTCAGTGATGCTAGAAGTGAGTTGGCGTATACTATTCAAGGGTAAGACAGGGAGTTCTCAGGGCACCGAAGACTGACGTTTTGGAGTGATGAAGGTCAATGCCATCATCCATACAAATATGTCATCAGCGTCCTAGCGAAGTGTGAGAGTGCCCTAGCCATCTTGCAATAGGTTATACATACCACTGTGACCTTCCCAATGACAATTAGTCTACCATGAAAAGCCTGAGGACAGTCTCAGTCGCAAAGGGAACAAACTTACAAACTCAGAAAACAACGGTTAACAGCATAAATGATAAGTGTGTTCAACATATTCTTCGTTCTAAGCAAGTTTGTTAGGAAGGAAAACGACTGATGCAACTGGAGTTACCTGGGGACTGCCGAGCGTGAGCCACGTTCATACAAAAGTACGCAAAGTGACACCGTAATCAAAACTTCAGCCAGTGCGACGAGAGACATAGCAGGTAGGGAGGTGTAAAACTAGGAATAATGAGTCGTGAGTTTCCACACGAATTTCTCTGTTAACGAAACTACCCTAGCGTGTGAGGAGAAGCTAAGGGCGTTGTTGACGAACCTACACATGGAGGTCAGTACTTCAGTAAAGAAGCTTGGACAGGCTGGAGTACATCACAACAACTGTCGCTGCCTCCTGTTAGAGTATATTTTTCACCGTGGGGGAGAAACAGTGCACAAACCTATGGTAAACCCTAGCGAGGTATGATTACAAATACCTCGCGAACACGATTAAAAAAAAACTTACCGGTCTGGACTATTACTGATAGTATCTATCATGGTCTCGTCACTGCATGATACCTTTACCATCACAAGTAAATGTACTCACAATTGGGGTGGTCACCAACCACCTCAGTTGATGGCGACAAACTGAGTGCACATCAACCAAGTCTCGAGTGGCAGATTGAATGTGACATACGGTAATGTATTTTACGCGCAAAGAAGCTAACGCCATTTGGTTTATGAGCCTCGACCCGCAGAAGAAAGTCACTTACAATTGAACTATGTTAATGATAGATGACTGGAAGAGAATCGAATCCCATCATGAAGGCTGAGATGGAAGGAACGCACAACCGCCAGAATCGACGCCTAAGCAGGGGAGCACTCTAAATTAGTGCCCTGTAGGAAAACGGGCGTGCGCACTGGGAATGACCTGTCATGTTCAGGACTCGAAGCTTTGAAATGAAAAGGATACAAACCACACAATATACTCCAAACTCGTCAGAACGCCGTAATTGGTTATCTGCAGGGACTGAGCAGGACGGTTACAAGGATTAAACACATTAGTTTCACCAGGTAGTAGTACACCGTATGACACACTAATTGGCCGTTAACCATGCATTCACTTATATGCACCAAACACTCACTGAACGAGAAATGTAGGGTATCCAAAACCCTGGCATTGTGTGGGTGGATTTGACAGATATCTCGAGGTGGCCTAACTCACCATATGGCAGCAACCAGGAACTTCATGGTCGAGGCATCATCATAGTGCATGTAATATATATAAGTCTATAATGTGACCAGTAAGCAGAGCACCGAGCTGGACGTTCTGTTTGAGACGACCCTGGAGATTTGTTATTCCGTATAACCTTTATGTGAAATGCGAACATCAGAGGGGAGATGTAACGAAATCAAGCAAAGCAACATATACATGGCTGAGACCAAAGCCCCGATGAGAGTAGAACCTACCGCGAACAAGTCAGCAGACAGGACCGCACTTGAAAACGAACTGTATTTACCAAAGCCGCCCGGGATGCCCATGTCGTTTGAGTACCTTTTATATCGTGGACTTTTCGACAAACTAGTTGCGGGTCGTGGATAGAGAAGTAATTGGGGGTGTGTCGACCTGACAACAAAGCAATCTAATCCAGCTTTATATGTAAGAGATGAAGGGGTGGCTTGATATGACTGAGAGAACCCACTCGTCCGACACCTTTCAAATCGGGACAACCATCAGGGTATGTGTTTGATCCATCAACAAGAAGCTCCAAGGGAGATGGTTATCCCTGAAGTCTGATGGATTTAGTTTTCAGTGACAACAACCGACTCCAATAATCTCGTCATTTCTGTATTCTTCCGTACCTTCCACTAGGAGCTCCCGGACATTTGAGTCGAGTACCATAAAACTGGGGGGACTCTGGAGTCACCTTGCAGGCAAGATTCAATTGTTTTCGCCGTATGACACTTATCACTTGTGAGTACCCTGGCACGAAAATCTGATCATCAGTTACTGCACAGGTCGTTTTCGGCAGCATGATGGAAATGCGCGATCTATGCGCCAGGCAACGGCCGTGATATTAAGTGGGTGAAGGGACCAACTTCGAATACACGATGAGGGTCACATAGGATGTGATCACGGGCAAAGACAAGAAGCCGAAATGATTGGTCGAGCAGAGCGTTATATCTGTGGATGTGAACAGATGGCTGAAGTGCAGTGTTTTGTGACAAGCTATATATAACTTAACATAAACTAGAATAAGGCCGTTTTTGAACGGCAGGCACCTTAAGTGTTTACCGCGCTCGCGCTCAATATACTGCGGAGCTGCAGAGATGCGGGGCACAGTGCTGAGCGCTGAGGCCTGAGTCCCAAAACATGATATTCGTGGCCAACCAAAAAAACATGTATGAATTTCGGGGTGGTGACAGAGGCCAGACGCCTGTACTTCGTATTCGGGAAATGGCAGCAGTAGATTCCAACCATGCCAGGACCACATGAGGCTATAGGAAAGTTATCTTCTAAGCACTATAATACAACGACCGTGACGATAGGTAGATGCGCTATTGCACAGGGAGCTCGAGCGAACAACCACCACCAAAGCTCCGAAAACTGGACCACACCAATTATGACCTTACCGCAGACCCATGAGGAAAGAGGAACGCCGTGTACGTAGGTGACATATCCGCTCATACTTGGAATATGATAGCGAATCCAGGGTGCAACCGCTAGAATCACACCTTTCCTTCTCTTCGCGACGCTGTGGTCTCATCGTGGGGAGGAACGGCAGTGATATCGATATCAGCCCTTTTACGTACGTCGGAATGAGTCCCTTCTCTGTCCTTTGAACTCCCCCCGTCTCCCAAAAGTTTTGGGAGTTTCGAGACGTGGACAGCATTCATGTGCAGATCTGACTTGCCCCAACTCTGGGATCGAAGGTGTTCCCGGGTATTCAGTGACGCTAGAAGTGAGTTGGCATACACTATTCAATGGTAAGGGTAAGACGGAGAGTTCTCAGGGCACGAAAAACTGACGTCTTGGGATGGCAAAGGTCAATGCCATCGTCCATGCAACCATGTCATCAGCGTCCTAAACGAAGTGTGAGAGTGCCCTAGCCGTCTTGCAATAGGTCATACGTACCACTGCGAGTTCGGCAAGGATGACTAGTCTACCGTGAAAGGCCTGAGTCCAGTCCCAGCCGCAAAGGGCTCAAACTTACAAGGTCAGCAAACAACGGTTAACAACATAGATGATAAGCGTGTTCAATAGATTCTTCGTTCTAAGCAGGTTCGTTAGGAAGGAAAATGACCGATGCCGACTGGTATTACCTTGGGACCGCCGAGCGCGAGCCACGTTCATACAAAAGTATGCAGAGTGACACCGTAATCAAAACCTCAGCTAGTGCGGTGAGAGACACAGCAGGTACGGAGGTGTAAAGCTAGGAAGAATGAGTCCTAAGCTGCCGCACCAATTTATCTGTTAACGAAACTACCCTAGCGTGCGAGGAGAAGCCGAGCGTGTTGTAGATGAACCTACACATAGAGATCAGTATTCTAGCGAAGATGGTTGGACAGGCCGGAGTACCTTACAACGGTTGTCTCTGGTTCTTGTTAGAACAGGTTTCTCGTCGTGCAAGAAAAAAGTGCACAAACCCATGTTAAACCCTGTTGAAATATTGTTATAAATGCTTCGTGAATGCGATAAAAACACTCACCGGTCTGAACTATTACTAATAGTATCTGCCATGGTCCTGTCACTGGGTGACATCTCGGCCGTCGTCAGTAAATGTACTCACAAGTGGGGTGGTCACCCACCACCTCAGTTGACGACGACAGACTAAATGTTGATTAACAAAGCCTCCGGTCGGACGTCGGATGGGACATACGGTGATGTATCTTATGTACAAAGATGCTAGCAACATCTGGTTTGTGAGCCTCGGCCCGCAAAAGAAAGACACTTGCAATTGAACCATAGTAACCACAAATAACTGGAATAGAGTTAAATCCTGTCACGAAGGCTCAGATGAAAGAAACGCGCACATTCACCAGAATCGACGCCTAAGCAGGGGAACACCCTAAATTAGTGCCTTATGGAAAAATGGGCATGCGCACGGGGAATGACCTGTCATGTTTCAGGACTCGGAGCTTTGAAATGGGAAAGATACAAACCACACAATATACTCCAAACTCGTAAGAACGCCGTAATTGGTTATCTGTAGAGACTGAGCACGATGGTTACAAGGATTAAACATATCATTTTCACCAGGTAATAGTACACCATATGACACACTAATTGGCCATTAACCACGCATTCACTTATATGCACCAAACACTCACTGAACGAGAAATGTAGGGTATCCAAAACCCTGGAATCGTGTGGGTGGATTTGACAGATATCCCAAGATGGCCTAACTCACCATATGGCAGCAACCAGGAACTTCATGGTCGAGGCATCATCATAGTGCATGTAATATATATAAGTCTATAATGTGACCAGTAAGCAGAGCACCGAGTTGGACATTCCGTTTGAGACGCCCCTGCAGATTTGTTATTCCATATAACCTTCATGTGAAATGCGGATATCAGAGAGGAGATATAACGAAATCAAGCAAAGCAACACATACATGGCGGAGACCAAAGCCCCGATGAGAGTGGAACCTATCAAGAACGAATGAGCAAACGAGACCACACTCGTAACGAAGCATGTTTACCGAACCCGCCTGGGATGCCCATGTTGTTTGGGTAGCTTTTGTAACGCGGGCTCGTCAACGAACTAGTTGCGGGTCGTAGACGGAAAAGCAATTGGGGTGTATCAACTTGACGACGAAGTAATCCAGTTCAACGGAATGGTCTAAATGTGATCAGAGGAAGCGCATTGCCTAAGCAGTGCCTTTCAAATTGCGATGTAGATAAAACTGTCAGAGTATGTGCCTGATCCATCAAGTTTCGTGCTCTCAATGACAATGGCATCTCACCGTTTCCGTAGAGGCACTGTTTTCATATGCACTTGGGTTGACATGAACACCGCACTCCTGGCACTATGCATTGTTAGCAAGGAATCTTCTCCACCTTCCATTAGGAGCTCCCGGACACCTGAGTTGAGTACCATCAAACTGAGGGGACGCTCGAATCGCCTCGCTGGCGGGACCTAATTGTTTTCGCTGTATGACACTCATCAGTCTCGGAGAAGTACACATGCTTTATCTTCTAGACGTGCCTGTTAGAAACCCAGATTTTAAGAGAACCATTCTAGGTTTCAAGCCAATCTTTCTTGGCCTCTTTGAGGTTCTCACCCCAGAATCCTCTGACGCCGGCTGAAGACTGTAGGAAAGACGAAGTCAGCGTTCCTGGGGTAGGCCAGGCTTATCCACATGCGTCTCACATACCTCAGCAGTAACGAGTTCCCGGTGGATAAGCTTCCAGGATTGGAAACGGTGGCTCTCATTCAACGACGTTCGTACCAGAGGGTATGCAATTGCAATTCTGCTGGAATATAAGATAGTTCTTTCGAAATCGAATCTCTGTCCGAGCAATTATGCTACGAATATACTGTGTCCGGTGCTCGCTGTGACGTCTCGCATATCGCCTGTTGAGTGCACAAAGCGGATTTCTCATGGCCGGAACATACGCCACGATGGCTGTTTTGACATCCAAGCCAACACCTATTCTAAAATGCAGGTCAGACGGAAGAACGAAGTGAGGAAATCATACCATTATACCCACGGTAGCTAGCGTCATCTTTCATCGAACATAGTCGTAATGAAGAACACATCAATTAATAAGAGAAGTCCAGGAAGATAAACCTCTGTGTGCCACCTCAAAGAGACCTCGGATGACTAGAAATAATGACCAGTCTTGAAGGGCAGACGTGGACACAAGCATCGGTGTGATGGTGGCCAGTCACCCCTAGAGAGTGCCCAGCACTCCATGGCCTACGGCTCCCAAATGCTCCGATGGGCAAGAGATCGGTCGAGCAGAGCGTTACTTGTGGGTGCGAACCGGTGGAAATATAAGTGACAAACTAGAAAATGCGCCGAAATCACCCACATACTAACCACGGGATAACGGAAATCGGTGGCCATTGAGATGTATTTAGTCTGCTTTCAGGACTATGTTCAATCCCTCAGAAAAGAGCCGAGTCGCCCGTATGTTTAATAATTGCGAGTTTGAATCGCGCTGCAAGAGCGGCGTAGGCTGCCTAACGATTTTGGGGTCAATGTGGGACTGAACGTGGGCAGCGCAAGCACGAACGAGGTATGCAAAGACCCATAATGGCTGACCAGTAGAAGTCACGAAGTTGGCTCACCCAGTTCGACATGGGTCAAGTCCGTTCCACAGCCAATTGTCATCACGGCGATCCAGACACCAAACAAGCTACACGATTGCCATTGACAATGGCGGTCAACTTGGAGCGAGCGCTCTGACTGTCAGCAAGTTATCGTGGGTCCTCTCAGCGGCGTTTCCCCTCGTCATCGAGTCACATCTTTCGTGTGGCCGAGTCACTGAGCGCCCGGATCGGAGCGTTTGCGAGCCGACCTGGGCTATAAAATGCTGCCATTGAAGTAGGTGTTCTCCAGCGCCAAAGCTTCAAGCCTGGCTTCTATCAACATGGCATCCCTGCAACAGGTAGTCGAGCGACTTGCACTTGCCGCTTCAAGTTTCGATCATACCGTTGCGGTCAATGGTACTACTTCCTCAACCCTGTCCGGTGGTCCCCTTCAACGGCTCGCCGTCATTACGTCGATGCTCGCATCGACGTCCGCTCTCCGAGATTGGGCGTTGTTGCTAGTCATCGGGAGTCTCTTTGAAGCAGCACGCAGAGGTTTATCCTCTTTCTGGATCTCTCTTGTTGACGCATTCTTCATTACGGCCGTGTTCGACGAGAACGACTCTAGCTACCGTGAGTCATGGTTCGACCATACCGCTTTGTTCTTATATCTGACCCCCGTTTTAGAATGGATGTTGGCTTGGCTGTCAAAACAGCCATCTTGGCGTATGTCATGTCCTTGCAGTGAGAATTCTGATTGTGCACTCACTCCCTCAAAAGGACATGTGCGACACGTCGAAGTCAGCACGAGCTCGACATATTCGGGGCCTAGTTACTCGAACAGGGACTCAATTTTGAAGGAACCCTCCTATAAACCGGCAGAATCGCAATCGTACACCCTCTGGTACAAAAGTCGTTGGATGAGGGTCACTCGTGTATCCGTGTCCAATCCCGGAGGCTGGTCCAACAGGGAATCGCTACAGCTGAGGTATGCATGACGTATGGGGATAAACTGTGCCTGTGCGGGAACGCTGACTCGCCTATCCTGTAGAGTCTTCAATGGGCGTCAAAGGATTCTCAGTGAGATAATTGATGAAGCTAAGAAAGATTGGCTTGAAATGCAGAAGGATTCCCTTACAGTTTGGGTATCTAGCAGGCATGTTTGGCAATGAAACATACATGCGCCTCCGAGGCTGACCGATGTCCTACAGCGACAACGATTGGGTCCGGCTTGCTAAGCGGCTCAAGCGTCCTCTTAGCTCGATTGTACTCGACCCAGGTGTTCAGGAGCTCCTAGTGGAAGATGCAAAAGACTTCCTTGCCAGCAAGGCCTGGTACCAGGAACGCGGCATTCCCTTCCGTCGTGGTTATTTGCTTGTGAGAAGTCCTTTTCGATACTCGAAGCGTTAGTTTGACGATTGGTTCTATTCAGTACGGTGCTCCTGGATCGGGAAAGACTTCCATAATTCAAGCCATTGCTGGCGAGTTGTGCCTTGATGTCTATGTACTCACTCTCTCGCGTTCCGGGCTCGACGACACAAGTCTTGCTACATTGTTGTCGGGTTTACCATCACAATGTATCCTCCTCATGGAGGACATCGACGCTGCCTTTCACCACGGCCTCAGTCGTGAATCTGGACCACCAACAGCTACTTCATCCCCCGAGACCGGATCTCGTGATGGGCCAAATGGACCACCTAAATCGGGTGACTCTACAAGCAAACTTTCGCTCAGTGGTATCCTGAACGCCATAGACGGTATTACTGCTAACGAAGGTCGCATTCTGTTTGCGACTACCAATAAGTACGACGTGCTCGACCCCGCGCTCTGTCGGCCTGGCCGCATGGACATTCGTCTCGAGTTTCACCTTGCAAGCAGGTACCAAGCCAGGGAAATATTCAAGCATTTCTTTGCGTCTTCTCCTGTGCAAGCATCAGAGAAGAATGATGTTACTGGTGACGGGGAACCTCATCTTATCCATCTCACATCATCCGCCAAGTCTCAAGAATTGTCTCAGCCGTCATCGGAGTCCTCTGAGAAATCTTCACCGTTGCCACCTTTAGTATACTCTGGGCTTTCCCATCGTTCACGTGCCCCCAAGCTATCTGTCAGCGAGCTCTCCGCGCTTGCGGATCAATTCGCTGCCAGCGTGCCGGAGCGGCAGTTAACGATGGCAGCTCTGCAGGGCTATCTCATGATGTACAAGGCAACACCGTTCAAGGCTGTTGCAAACGTTTCCGCTTGGGTTGAGAAGGAACTTGCGGAGATGAGTCACTAGATTCAACTCAATTGTCGCAAATTTATTTGGTCCATTGTCACGTGCCCCCATTGTAAGCAGCATGTAATGGACCACTTGCCATTATAATGGTCAGGTTTGGCTAGATTATAGCAAATATGTGATATTTTATCTAAGATATAGTGCAAATGTGTAAAATATTATGTACAAATACCCATTTTTGGCAATCTTTCAATGACACATGGGTGGCATTGGCATGGCTTATAACGGAAGTGTGAACAGCCACCGTTAACATGTATTATAAGGTTCTTATCACGTGCCCAAGAAATTTGCGACAATGCTTTGCGAACTGAAACAAGAGTGGTAGAAATAAGCTTCACAATCGTAGGATTACATTAGGGTCATTTGTGAGTACCCTTTTTGATTGTAGGACCCACTAGCACCATAAGATCAAATCTGATCATCAGTTATGTATCACGCAGTACGTTCTGGCCAGTATGATGGAAATGCGTGATCCGTGCGCGCGGCAGTGGTCGCAAAACGTGTATGTACTTTTGTACCGAGTTTACTTCAAGCGGCATCCAGCGGTTTGATTGAAGCACGATAGAAGGGGCTCTAAATACAATCACTCGGCCAAGGAAATTTCCCCGAGGACAGCTTTCCAATCAGAACATCCAGCGGATAGGACAGAAGTCCCCGAAACTACAATATCTATAATTGTCACGTTCACGCACGCCTACCCGTTACTGTAAACAAACGAGCATTATAACAAAAGGTATCATGATATACAATCCGTCTAAGTAGCCCGGGTTAATGACTGCAATGGCAAACCCCCTCCAACGATGTCTTAATAATGAATGAAAAATTACGCCCTCGGTGCGCGCGCGTACTTCCTACGGAATTTACCGTCAACCGACTCAAGGTAGTAAGCTCCGGGCCAGATGTTATCAATAGAACCTTCGGGGGTATAGTTGACCGCGTTGTGATTCTTTTCGCGAAGCTGTATTGCGGCAACGCCAATAAATTACCAAAACCGCTAAGAAAAACGGGGAGACTTACAGCTAGTGCATCGACGTATTCCTGGCAAGGGACCACTTTCATGTTCTTAAGCCGTTCCAAAAGGTCCAGCTTCTCCTTGATTTCCGACGTGTCACCCTTGACACGCAAAGTGAAGAAGCTCGCAGCGCAGCCACTACCAAAACCGAACATACTGAGCCGCTTGCCTTTGAGCTCCGAGGGCTCGACAGCAGACAGGAGGGATGCAAGGCAGCCGTACAAAGATGCGGTATACATGTTACCCAACCGTTTCGAGCAGTGCATGGAAGGTCCGACCTTCTTAGCATACAAAGCCTTGGAAGCGCCGATGAATGTTTTCTCAAGATTTTTGTCGGTCACAGATGCAGAGTAAGGCATAGCAAGGATAACCTCTGGAGAGGGTATGTTGGCAAATTGGGGCGCAGAAGGGGACGCCACGAAGTCATTGTAGACGAGACGACCGAATGCTTTTTGAACTTGCTTTCCGTACGGACTGTGGAAGACAGTGTAGTCAACATCGTCCAACGAGAAAGCGCGGTCAACGTCGCCATTGGCGGACCCATTGGCGGCGCTGCCGTTGAGTTGAGCCTTTTTAGCTTTGGCAGTCTTTTCACGGAAGCGTGCATATGTAGCATCAAGGGCAGAGATATAGGTGGTGACAGAAACTGGTCCGTCAACTTCGGGATATTCCGAATCTAATCGGGGCTTGTAGAAGTCGTAGGTATTGGTCATGTGGTTGCCGTGAATGGCTGGAAGATCAGTGGGAGTCAGGGGGAGAACGGAGATCAATATACATCGAACTCACGCTCGACTACCACCGGCGCATTTGGACCGATGAGCATTGCACAAGAGCCAGCACCACCAGCAGGACGTGCAGCGCCTTCGGCGTAGATGGCAATGTCGCCGGCAACGACAATTGCATTCCTGCCGTCCCATGAAGTAGATTCGATCCAATTCACGGCGTTGAAGAGAGCGGCGGTAGAGCCATAACAAGCGTTTTTCGAATCGATACCTTCGATGTCGAAGTTGCCCGAGTCTGCAAAGAGATCCATGAGGGTCGTCTTCACGGACTTCGATTTATCGATGATGGTTTCGGTGCCCACATCAATGCGACCGATGGACTTCGGATCGATGTTGTACCGCTCTAAAAGGCCAGCGACGGCTGCGAAAGGCGCGTTAACCCGTGGGCAGCGGGCGGCGACACCAAGAGAGCTAACCATTTAAAGCGAAGGAGTTGATGTCTTCGCGATCATCACAGCAAGCCATGTACTCCTGACCAAGACCTATAGTGTATTTCCCTGCGGAGACGCCATCGAAGACCTCAAGGTCCGCTTCAGAGATGCACTGGAAGACGCTCTGTCAATTGGATGGATGCGCTGCTAGCACTGTTCGCTCACTCTGTAAGGGAAGTAGACCTCCATAGCAAGGATTCCAACATCCTTGGGACGAGGCATTTCTGGGGTGGTATTGGTCATGGTACTACGGATTGAAAAAAGATGCAAGAAGGAAGGGCGCGATAGGGACGATGAAGGGGCAGGTCACTTTTATAGGTTGGGCCGAGGAGAGACCCTCGACTTCATTATATAACCGCATCTGTTCGCGAAAATTTATGATACGATATGTGGCATCCGAAATGTTGTCCGACAGACTTATCAATCTCGACTCACATGTACCGTCTTGTAGACTAATATCTGCTAAGCACACCCTTGCCACGCTGTGTGCGTGTGCATCGCCAACGGCAACAGGGGGTTCTTCTTCCCGGCGAACCCCTCTCAACGTTGATACCACGGACCGCATCACTGATCCATTCTTCTCCCAAAAAACGTGTTGGGTCGCGTTACTCGGATCGATTGACATGCCTGACGTCAAAGAAACGTCCACAAACAACGTTTTCAGTCTGGCCTCATGTGGACACCACCCGCGCATCCGATTTCCATCTCGAGCACATATCCTTTCCTCCCCATGGTTATCCCTACACCGGAGTGGCCGTAGGTTTCATCTAGTCTCAGACAGCGACAAGTCTCACTTGTATCCGGCGCGTCTACTTAGTTTGAAACCCCTCCTCATCATTCCCTTGGCCCCATCTGGCATCTTCGGCTGCCATATTGATTCTCTGTAGATAAAATCTACCCGTTATCTGTTAATTAACGTTACCTTCCCAGAATATATCCAAAACGATGAGAACAGTGGTCCCAAGCCCTCGCAATTCCTCGCGGTCGAGAGCTTCCTTTCCCCCCATATTTATTTTCTTCCAACAGCTCCGGCCACCCGAACGCGTTGCCGTCGTTGTAACTGTTCGGATCCATCTCGATTGCAAAGGGCACAGGTCCTCATCAAAAGTACCAGATATCATAAGTTGACGCCACCCCTAGCCGTACCTGGGTTAGCCACACTGAGTCGAACACTGGCACAGATTGTACAACAATCCACCGGCGCAAGTACAGCCACGCAACATTCCTCAAACACTCACAAAGACCCGGCCACCCGGAGAACGTGAGACACCGCTTCTAGGTCGTGTTCATGCGCAGGCAGCGTTTGATCACAGCAATTACATTTCCCAAAAAATCTTATTACCCTCCCCCCCGCGGCCTTACGAGACCTTGCTAGGCAAGTAATTAAGGACGAATGTCGCCGAAAAAGTGGCTGCTTTAACCTGGGATGGGTCAACCCCCCGAACAGCCACTGCGTGAAATTTCGTTTGACACCGCATCTAGAACGGGATCGGTGATTGAGCGTACTTTACCTGCGGGAATATGGGAAAGTACCCAACTACTATATATTGAAGGTACGGTTTCATGACTGCACGCGCGTGGGATTACCCCTAGCGTCTGTGCCTCTCATCGTGATCGATAAGCCAATGCACTTGGCGATTACAATTTTCGTGGGTCTGCTTCAAGAGAACCAAGCATGGATGTAGCCTGATGTAGCCGAGATATCTACAAGGCCGGCATCGTGCACGCGACGTCCAGTACAATTACCTTTACAACCACCCGTGACTCCACTTCCGCGTCCCCGTTGCACGATGTACAAGGTGGTGCACTTCCACAAGCTCCAACGAAAAGTGGTTTATTGTCGTCACGTCCTGTTTGTCAATACAGATGAATCCTGATATGAAATCGCGAAGGAGATTTGGACGAGGCGTGGCTCCATCATGGGAGTACTTCACGAAAACTGGTACCGATACGGCAGGACGTCTTCAACAACAGCAGCTGGAACCTAAGGTGACTTGGGCTGCATACTGTCTCTGCTCTAAAGTGGGTTTTTGGGGGATTATTGATCGCAGGTCGTCATTCAAATGTTCGAGATCCATATAAAAGCATGTGTCCAATGCACGATGATCGACCGTGTCGCCGTGCCGTGCTACCCATGCGCACAACTGGCTTCAAACCTCGTGTAGGCTACGTGGATTTCCACCTGGAACCCAGCTTATATCTGCAATGAAAGACCAGGTAAAACGCATCTGTTAACCTTCAGTCCCCCCATGATCATGTCACAGATCGTAGTTGATCTCGCTCCTCTCACTCTTGAAGTTTCCCCCTTCCGAGCCCCCTTTGACGACAACGACGCCAATCTGGTCCTGCATACATCTGATGGAGGTAGATTCGCTGTTCACAAGATTTTCTTGACCCTTGCTTCACCTCTTCTGAAGCGCTCTTTGATGGCGGGTTCAATGTCTCCTTCGCCCCAATTCTCGGGAATCGTCATTAAACAAGAGAAAGGGCGCGACATCATTGAGATCGTCGAGGACAGTTTAACAACAGAAAGGGTTTTGCAGTATTGCTACCCTTTCACGAACCCTGTGCTCGAGAATCTGGATGATGTCCAGAACGTATTGGCGATGATGAAGAAATTCGGGATGAGGGGTCTGATGGATCGAGTGAGAGGTGCCCTTGTGCAACCCTCGTTCTTGGAGGAAGAACCCTTGCGTGTATTTGCCATCGCATACCGCTTCGGATTTGAAGCGGAAACTCGTCTCGCAGCGAGGAGCACCCTTCGTCACCAGATCTTTGGCCCTTATGTCAAGGAACTAGAACATATCCCCGCCTCCATTTACCACAAACTCCTCCAGTACCACCGCAAATGCAGTGTTGTGGTGTGTGGACTTACCTCCGACTTTTCATGGTTCCCTGGCTTCGCGTCGCGCTGGGTCTGGTTCCAGTGCGACGACTGTGTGCACCATTCCCTTTCGTGGCCACTGTCTGATGGGAAGATATACGAGGTAAACGCATGGTTTATCGAGTACATGGAACGTGCGAGAACTGCGCTGCGGGAGCGACCCTGTGGAAAGGTAGTCAGCGACCCTCTGCTGATCATGGACGCTCTGGAAACGGCAGCCCACTGCCATACTTGCCGGCCAGCTGCCTACCTGGACATGAGTACGTTCATTGGAGAGCATTTTTCGGTAGAGGTGGAGAAAGCGATTGATACGGTCAGTGTGGTAGATCAATCGATCACCCTTTGGCCTAATGCTAAACGTGCACTCCAGGTGGACTTAGACATACCCTTCCATTCCCCTGCATAGTTAGGATAAAAGCCATCCCAACTTTGCAGCGAATGAAGGGGGACGGCTGCACAGTCATGGGATAGTATCGATTACTAGCCTGATTTGACAGTATCACAATATGAATTCTTGTTGCCAGCTGTCTTCGCGCACTGTATTGAAAATAGTCTGTGTTGCAGGAGACTTTTTTGGGAGAGCGTAGATCTCTGGACAACAAGGCCTCGGCCGGTCATCGTAAGAAGTGCATCCAAACACAAGTTGTCTGCACGTGCCCGATCTTGCATCCATCTTATCTCTGGTGGACAAGTTCTAAACCAGTTATCGTCCTTTTCGTCCTTACACCATGAAGTCCGAGCTGTCGACTTCCACAGCTAGAGCTCCGTTCGATCGCGTCGATGCCGACGTCATCCTTCTCTCTTCGGATAACGTCGAGTTCTGGGTCTTTAAAGTGATCCTGTCGCTCTCATCTCCTATTCTCGAGAACATGTTTTGGTTGGGCAGCTCACAGAAGAGTCATTCCGAGACATCCCTGCCCACTTTCGAAGTTTCGGAGAGCAGTACCACCCTAGATACCTTGCTCAGACTCATCTATCCAACCACCACTCCTGCTTTGCGTTCCTACAACGACGCAAAAGATTTCCTGAGAGCCGTTGCAAAGTATAACATATCTGATGATGCTTTGCCTCGCGCCAAGGAATTGATCGCGGCACAATACTTGAAAGAACATTTCTTGTCCATTTACGCTCTTTCCTGTCGCTATGGTTGGAAAGATCTGGCCCAAAGAGCGGCAATGGAGAGTCTTCGGTTGGATGTACTGGATAGGACCGTTCCCTATGTCGAGGAGATGGAAGACATGACGGCAGCAACCTACCGCAGGTTGCTGTTGTATCACAGAGCGTGTGCAGCCGCGGCTCACGATGCGGACACAAACGAAAGGTGGTTCCCACCTACGAATTACGGACGGTGCGCCAAATGCTACCGCGACGTTAGTAATTCCGGGATCAAAAACTATAGGACTGCCTGTAAGGAAAGGTTGCTGCGACGGCCGTCTCCGTCAACGATTTCCGCGCTTGAAATACCCGATGACGTGGCATCGACCTGGTTTGAGTCGTCCAGCGTCCGTTGCCATCATCAGCTACAGTATTTCCAAGAATTTCGCAGAGCATATGTCACGGAAGTGAAGAGAGTGATATCAAACGTGAGTGTTCTTCTGGCACGATGTGGCCCATACGCAGCTGACTTTGAGACGTGGACGTGCCATTTCCTGATAGGTTGAATTGGAATTTTCCCAACAAGGAGCGTGATGAACGGGGAGAACATAAAAGTGCCCGCAGACACAATAGCCCCTGTGTACGAGTGTTTACATATGTATGAGTACGGTGTCACTGGTCGATTGATTGGGTTGGGCATTAAATTCGCGCTTGGCCATGTCCTCATCGCTATTCATTCGTAGCGTCGTTCTCTCGTCTCGATTTCATTTAGCACCGTGCATTCGCCCTCTCAAACGCCATTATGTACCCACGTTGTTATCCCGGCTTGGGGCTTCCTCCCTTTGGTCGATTTCACGTCGTTCTTTCAACACAAGCCTTTGCGCGCGGTTTTCGCGTTTGCCCTCTGACAAAGGCACCAACAAGCTAGGAGATACTTTGAGCAGCGACAAAGTATCGCATCAGAACGTTACTCTTCGAGAAGATATTTATACCATCCCGAACCTTTTGACCGTGTCCCGTATTCTAGCTTGTCCCGTGCTGGGGTGGTCAATACTGCAGGATAACTTCTACCTTGCAACTGGATTACTCGTCTATGCTGGATTATCGGACTGGGTAAGTGAGCTCGTGCCTCGCAAGTTGCGGTTTATCAATGGTAGGAAGGTCGATGGGTTCTTGGCTAGGCGGTTCAACATGCGCTCTGTACTGGGGACAATATTAGACCCGGCTGCTGACAAAACACTGATGACGACTTTGACGGTGACACTAACGATGAAGGGTCTACTTCCAGGTGCATACTTCTTTTTTCGTGGTATAGCGAGGTCGGAAGTCACACCTTGAGTAGTTTCACTGGCAACTATTATCATCGGAAGGGATGTGCTCCTGAGTCTCTCTGCTTTTTACATTCGTTATTCCTCCTTACCTCCACCGGTAAGTACTGTTTGCAACAAGCAGGAGTCATATTTTGATCGACTTTCGCCAGAAAACCTTGGCCCGGTATTGGGATTTCTCGATACCATCAGCTGAGGTAAGGCCAACTACCATAAGCAAGGTGTGTAAATTCTTTTTTTGCGTCTCGTTGCATACCTAAATCACTGCGTAGTTCAATACCGCTGCACAGCTGGCTCTGATGTTTGCAATAACGGTCGCTCCTATTGCACCTGCATATCTGAGTGTATATCTTCCTGAGATGCAGTAAGTGGATTCTTTATTGCTTCCAGAACACCGTTTAGTTCATCGCTATTAGACTCTTAGTGGCCGTTACCACGATATGGAGTGGTCTGTCTTATATGTTTTCCAAGGATGCCGTCCGGATCCTATCCGAAACGCGAGAACGACGGTGACGCCCATGAAGGGATTGATGTGGAATACTGCACATGGCTGAGGGTGAGATTACAATACACATTACAGGCCTATTCGTTATGTATTTCAGCTGTCGCCCTGCGACGGCGCACTTCCTGCAGTGCATCTGCAATGGCTTGCTTATTTGCACAAGCTTGCCGCCACATATCACTGACACACCTGTATAACGGTGCTTAGTTTGACGTCGAACGGGGTGGCGGAAACTCACTTAATGCGATGTGCGAAAATAACGCAGAGCGCTACGCTCCTAAGGTGGCGTATTTTCTTCTGAAGTACCGGCGCAGGTTGTGGTTGTTTGGGGTACCCAATGCGTGCTATGCAAGCTAAAATCCGCTTGTCGCTGGAATCCTGGTCAGTAAACAAACAAGCTATAGCTAACGAGAGACCCACCTTTCTTCGAAGTTGGCCAACAAGACAAGGAGGTAACGCTTTTGGTAAGCAAGGTCATCTCGCAGCGTGGATTCACGGGTAAATTTTGCCTTCAGGTAACGTATCTGGACTATGAGACCTTTGCATTCCTGCTTGTGTTGGACTTTGAGTGCCTCTAGCTTCTGCTCATCCCTGAACAATAATGAGTTAATGCTAATGGGCGCACGAAGTAGACGAAACGTACGCAGGACAAACGTGTCGCAAGAGATCTTCTCTAGCTCTCTTCGCTTTGGCCTTATGACTTTCAACTTGTTCAGTGAGGAGTCGGATTTGGGCCTGACTCTGTTTCTTCGCGCGCTCAGCCTCGGCTTCTTCTTCTTTATGTTTCTGTTGCATTTTCTGCTTTTCCGTTTTGAGCGCTTTCAGGTCGAATCCAATCGCCTCGGCGTCCTTTCTGACTCGTTTCAATTCAGCTTCCAGAGTGTCAATGGTCCGTGCGATGCTAGTCTTCTCGATAACGATGCGATTCTTTTCTTGTTCTGTGCGTTGAAGCTGATCGGTTGAATTTGCTAGGGCGCGACGTAGTTCATCGATTTCGGTAAGACAGGCATCAAGTTCCTGCCGTCGGCTGTCGTGCGAGTTTTGCGACGCAGCGTATTCAGCCCGCGCTTTGCTAGCACGCTGCTCGAGACCATCAGGGCGGGTTAAATACGGATGACTTCCCCCATACCTCAGAGACCTCGGTAAACTGACGTTGGAGATCTTTGTAGTCGCGAGCTAGGAGTGAACGCTCTTGCCGGAGTTGTTCGATGGTCTCTGCGTTCCCTCGCACCTTGGCCTCCAAAAGACACGCTTTCTGTTCCACGTTGGCATTCTCTGCGGAATTCTTCGTCAGCCATCACCAGTTGCATGACACCATCTTTCCTACCTCGAAGTTCATTTTCAAGCTCACGGTTCTCCTGTTTTGCTTTGTGCAACTGTCGCTTAACGTCTTCAATGTCCTAAATGAGGACGTGAGCTCATGAACGCGACTATCACGCTGACATCTATACCGCTTCCGTGCGTTGCAATTTACGAGCAACATCTTCCGTTTCTCGTTGAAGGCGTTGGTAATCAGTAGACATCTGCCCCAGCCGCACTCGCTCAGCCTGCAGTTCAGTCTCCAGGTCACTTATGGTCGCTTTCGCCTTTTCTACCTCCTGCAATGGAAATATGTTGAGTACCAGAAAGTTTTGAGGGCAAACACGAAAATACCTTCTGACTGTCTGCCTTAGATTTACGGCCAGCATCATTAGCTCTCTTGGACTCTTCCTTGGCATTGCGGGTTTCCACCTTCATGCGATTGGCCTCATCCTCAAGGACGGCCTTTTCGCCCAGCAGGCGGCGCTTCTCTTCCTGCCATTCTTGCTTCATTGCGTCGAGTTGTGCATAGACGCTCTGTAGGTCGACTTGGAATGCCTCACTGGAGTTTGTAACAGGTGATGACAGATTCGAAGGAAGTTCACTTTGCGATATATCTATCGAGCTAGTCTGATGGTTGGCGAGAGCACTTCAAGTAACGTAACTCATCTTACCTTTCGTTTGCATCGATTATCTTTTGCAGCTGTCCAGGGTCGGTCTTCACCAAGCATTTTTGGCATCTGAGCCTCTCCAGGCGACGGAGACGCCTCTGTTCCCTCCGTTGCAACCTGGAAACTTCCCTCTCGGAGGCGGCTAGCTGTTCACGGGCGTCCTCGAGACTTTTGGTCAGACCAATAACATCGAGTCCTGCTTCTTCGAGTTGGTTCAGCTTCTGGTCGATGCTCTCGTTGGCATGGTCAAGTCGAGTTTGCAGCCTTGCGATCTCTGCTAGAAGAGGGGAGACAGTGGGGTCAGCCGTAGTGGCGTTTAACCAGGAAAGCTATTATCTATCGTCAGTCTCGAGCCGGAACCAGCACGCGCGATCCTGGGAACTTACGTCTCGAAGTGGTGCGCCAGGAGTCTTTGGACCTTTCATTGACATCGACAAGACATGCCGGTGGATTGGTGAAATCCCGTTCATGTTAAAGACCTTGCTCGGAGTAGCCAGATCAACAGGGTTCGTTCTGAGTGCTTCTTTAACTTCGTTATGTGTAGAGCGGTTGCCGAGAGCTAGTTGATGCTCCTGTTCGCACTCCAGGGTGGTCAGTCTGCTTTTTAGCCCTGATATGACTTCCTCGTCAGCTCTCATCCTTTCTTCCGCAACTTCCAAGGCTTGTTCCAATTGTCTCGCCAGCTCTGATGTTCTTTCTGCCTCCTTCTCGAGCATATCCATGCGATCGTTGGCCAACTCGCGTTCGTTCTCCAGACGTTCTCGAACCCTCTCTGCTTCGCGATTCAATTTGGCAAGTTCTTCTACGGCCTCCACTCTCCCACTTTCAGCTTCGTCGAGTCGTTTTTCGAGGTCACTAACGATATCCGCAACTCCCTTCTCTACTTCTTGCATTCGTTCCCGCCACCGCTCCTTGTCTCTCGCCCGCTCGTTGTGCTCCTCGTCAAGGTCTTTCTGCAACTGAATCTTGTCTTGATTCAGTTTATCGAGATCCTCTTCCATCTTCTGCAAAATCGCCTCCAATTCCAGTTTCTCTTCTGCCCATCTCTCAGCACCAGTGTCTTCTCTTACATTACCCAGAGTGCCACCAGCGATTTCCGCAACTTCCTCCTCTACATCTTGCATTCGCTCCCGCCACCGTTCCTCGTCTCTGGCCCGCTCAATGCGCTCGTCGTCGAGCTCTCTCTGTAGCTGAGCTCTGTCTTGATTCAGTTTATCGATATCCTCCTCCATTGTCTGCAAGATCGCCTCCAATTCCAACTTCTCTTCTGCCCATCCCTCAGCACCGGCGTCTTCTTCTACATCACCCAAGGCGCTACCAGCACTGGCTCTCCGATCTTGCCCCGAACTCGCAATACTTAACCGTGGGCCCGACTTTACATCCTCGTATTTCCTCAACCTCTCGACCAGTGCGATGTTTTCGTCCTGTAGTCGTCGGTTGAGTGCGTGCAGGTATGTATTTAACTTCTGCGCATCGAAGCGACCGGTCTTCCCTCGTTCACCAAGACCAACGGCTGGATCATACGACGCGTTCGCCCGTACATGCGCGACGAGGTCATGAGAAGATGCCGTGGAAACGAAGGACATGCGTTCGCCCGCTGAATCATAGGGGCTGTTGGTGTTTCCACCGCCAGCGTGCGATGGAGGCTCAAGGCTCTCTGACCTGTAGACCTGCGCAAGAGGATGTGACAAACGGCCCCTGCCAGGACGGGGTGTCGCACCCGCAAACATCTTTCGAAGTGGAGCAGCAACCGTTACCTGACCGTCATCTGAGGATTCTTCACCTGCATTAAGAACGGCGAGGCGTCTGGGATGGGGAGTGGGAGCTTTCAAGCGTGGCCGAGCGGTTGAATTGATGACGGATAATAAGAAAGACCGCCGGCGTGTACGTGGGGTTATAGGGTCGGAGTCGAGTTCTACTTCTTCCTCCACGTCTAGGTCTCCAGATGTTTGAGGGATATTGAATCGAGGGCGAGGGCGGGACGCGATCGCAGGGGTCGGAGTGACAGCTGAGGTGGGAGTCGACGAAGAGATACCCGGAGTAAGAGTTAGAGGTGACTTCCCGACTTGTAGGATGTTGTTCATGGGATGATTCAAGTCAGACGACGAGGTAAATGTAGGTTCGTGATCGTCATTGGTAGTCCCCTCCGGCTCGGATGTCTGGTTGGGTTCGTGTGCATCACGGTTTTCGTTTCTGAGGTTGGACGATTCCTGATCCTCGTCACTGGAGCGCGCTTCTTCGTCCGGTGATTGGAAAATAGCATTAGACAGGGACCTAACAGCGGGAGATGCCGATGTTGACCGTGGCAACGGAATATGAATACCAGGGGTAGGTGAGGGCACTTCCCTAGGAAAATGAGCTGAGCGATTGCTTCTCGGCGTGGAGTTGGGAGGTGAAGACGCGGGTGAAGGTGTGGTTCTTGACAAGGAGGGTGTTCGTGTGCGAGTGAGTGGCTTGCGGAAAGCTACATTGCGGTACTTGTCGAAAGGGGAGGGCTGAAAGATGCCTTGTAGTAGTGTCTAGACCCAAGTGGGCAAACTCACCTTGGGCTCCGATCGCAGCGAAACGGAGTAGTCGTACTTCAGCCCCTTCTTCGGTGTGGGCTCCTCCGCTGGGAAATCGGGAGGCAGGGGAGAGCTTGACCGACTTACAGACTCTAAAGCATCGGCGAGAGACATGTCTTCACCATCGTCGGCTTCCACTGGAGGAAGATAAACCTCCGGAACGCTGTTTGCGCTCTGGGAGAGTGGTCCTTCGTCCATATCTTCGCTGTCATGTGGAAGTGAGGTGATAGCACTGACATCGAAACTTTGCTGGGGGTTTCTGATATATCCTTGGGAGGCCGATGACTTGACGGACACGGACCGTGATGCAACCGAGGTCGCAAATCGGGCGGTGCTGGAGGTACTTGACTGTAGCTTGGCTGTAGTGGCAGTTGTATGTGACGATGGAGCCACCGGTGTAGAATGAACAGGGAGAACCAGATTTTCGTCGTCTGACGATGATTGATCAGAGGTCGTTTCCGGCACCATCGAATGTTCGAACCCCGGGAGGGAGGGCAAGGAGGATGGCTCCCGTTCGTCTTGGATCCTTCGCCAAATTGTAGACGGTGTCTCAAGCAAGGCCGTCATCGTAGAATCGGATTTCCTGCATAAACCAGTGCCGGCGAAGAACAGTACTACCAAGGACTAGTTCGTCCTTTGATCCCAGGTGTTCACTTGTCGGTATCACGCGACACCAACCGCGCTATGTCTCAACCACGTGACCGCGCGTCCCCGATGCTTTTTTTTGGACAAGTCACCTTGTTTACAAGGTCACTGCATCTGGAAATTTGTCACTCATTTTTCGACATCCACAATTTTCCCATAAACAAAGTCTGATTCAAGTTGCAGTGGCATATGACGCTGCATCTGTAACATTAAACAAACAAAAATAAAACAGCTGATTGTGTGACTTTTGCAGCACTGCTCCTGTGCAACTTTTTATACTACCCCTGCATAATTTTTAACACAGCTACCTTGTACCACTTTGCACTAGCTAGGAGGGCAGATAAAATAGATAAACATAGGCAGGATGTGAACACAGTTTGTCAGCACCCTCCCCGGTCATCCTGCCCAATCCACGAGGCCGTGATGCCCCACAGGGCCCGCTCGAACGATTGACCCCCTCCCCCGCCCCTCCCGCCTGGTGGCGGGATTGCTCCTTCTGGAAATTCCCACGGCATCGCCACCTGCAAATTCATGTGACTGCACTCCGCACCACAAGTCATCACTGGCCTAGCGAATTTGGGCCCATTTCTTGGAAAAATACCCATTATTACATGGGTTATGTACAGTAGCATTGAAACGAGTCCCAAGGAATGGGCGAAGAGTGCATGTAGCCCTGACTCACTCTCTCCCCCATGCACGTGCCCTGCTTAGTCAGTAGCTGTGGGCACAGCCACCTGCAAATTTTCTGCACATTACTGCAAAAGTCATGCAATCAGCTGTTTTATTTTTGTTTGTTTAATGTTACAGATGCAGCATCATAGTGGCAGTGCATTGTTGACTTGGAATTATGTAGGCTTTGTCGGAAAATCTGTATATTAGTTTCAATGCATCACAAGTGATTGCGATGCCCACAATCAAATGTGTAATTAAAATGGCATTGCAATACTAAGGTTTTCTATGTAATTGGACTTACAATAGGCATTGCTATGGCATAGCAAGGTAATATTTGGGGGTCAATAGTACAAACATAGTGCCATCACCCCTACATTGCAATGCAATTATAATGTAATTATAATGATTGTTATGATAGCCTTGTCATGTGACAAACATCCAGACCCTGGGCACTGCCATCCTACCATAATTGGACTTGCAATGTATTGCAATGAGAGCTGAGGATTGCAATACACTTTGGACTAAGGCAACAAAAATTTTATATTATATTACCTTTTGTAATCTTATCTTATCACCTGACCACAATTCTATTCTATTCTGATTTTGATTTTGATCTATCTTATCTTTGTCTACTACATGCTATGCTATTAGTATCACCTTACATGGAAATCTTTACTAATACAACCCATCCCCAATCTAACTAGTAAGTATTACTAAGTATTTTTTATGGCTCTGATCAGGATTTGAACCCAAGGACTTGGTGTTAGTTAGTCTAGTGCCAACTAGTAGTGAGACTTACTTTAGCATGTGTTACCATTAGTCCATGCAACCAATCTTTCTACACAAGTGTCAACACCTCTTAAGGAGCTTTTCAAGACTTAGACAAAATTTTCAAAATTGCATACAAGTAGTATTACAGTACACATGCCTGCAACTAACAGTAATGACAATTAGTAGCTACTTTGCCCATCTACCTCTACCATAATGTCCACTAGACTTATTCCATGCTGTAGTACCAGTACTGGATTCCACATTATTGCTATTGGTGGTGACTGAGTCAGTGGTGTTGCCCATGCCAGGAGTGGGTGTGGATGTTGCATTGATGTGAATGTTCACATCAGCAATTGAGACTGAATCCAGAGTGGACAGACCAGAGCTACTTTTGTGAACATTGGAATCAGCAGCAGCTACCTCATCTGTATCATTGTCTGACAATGCAGTGGCATCCATTGCTGCCATGGCAGCATTGATCTCCACAGACAGGTCCTCCATCACACTGGTCTTGGACTTGGTAGCCCCATTAGGATTCCCAAACATGAAGTGATTCATCTCTGTGACAACATTCTGGATGTGACAACCCGTCCACTTGGTGATAAGCACTTGTTTGTATGTGCAGAACACTTGATAGTAGTTGATTTTTGAGATTTGTCTGCAGCCATTCCCAGGGAACTCTTTGTTGGGTGAAAGTAGAAACATACACTATAATGATGGGGATTGAATCAGTGACATGTGGTGCTGTATCAATGCAAGCAATCTACTTACCACTGTGGCTGCCCATGCAATAGACCCTGGTGTCACTGCAGTGGCCTTCCATTTCTGCCCATTTGTCCTTGGCCCACCACAATGAACAAAGCCTTCTGTGAGGGACATCTTGCCCCACAGCACTCCCTTCAAAATCTTTTCCTCATCAGTGCAAACTTAGAACAGTAGTAGTTTTGAACACACCAGAGCAAGCAGCTTCCAGTTCATGAATGGTTTGTGCACATCAACTTTCATGTCCTTGAACAGAAAAGGGAACCAGATGGTGAAGTGTTGGTTAGGAGTGCCCACATCATTAACACCAAGCATCTTGATGATTTCAGGAACTTCGAGATGAGATGCAACTGGCAGGAAGTGGTTCTTTGGTAGCCCAAAGATTTCATGGGCATTGTCATGTAGTTTATAGAGAATGTCAGAACAACCATTTTGCATCACCTGCATGAACTAGGATCTTGTCAGTACAGAAGAACCAAGCAACAAATGTGAACAGATGATGTCAAGAAAGAAGTGTGTATGTCTCAATCTACATAGATGTTCTGGGAGAATTGAGTCAAGCTCTGCAACAAGACTGTGTTCCTCTGCTGCAGTGCTGGCATAATGCTCAGCTGTTGCAAATATGGGAGCAGGGGACATAGACAACTCAGACATTGCATTAGTTAGTGGTGTTTGTGGCAAGAACATCTCCATCATGACAGCATACTTCTTCCCAAGCATCTTGATCTCACTATCATATGCAATAACATTGGTGGGAATGTCTTTCATAGACTGGCATGTTTTGTTTGCCTTGAGGATGGTATTCTTCTCCAGTAGCTCTTGATTGTGGGATTTCTCTACATTGAGTTGCAGTTGGATGGCCTTCAATGCCTGTGAAGCAGTCAGTAAGAGCAGGAATTTGCATAGGCACAGGTATGAGCCTCTACAAGACCACCACTGCTGTCTCTTGACCCAGCTGATGCACTCATGGTCCATTGGTTACCTTCACCAGTGTTGGCTTCATCTAAGTCAGTGAGTGCAGACAGAGAGTGCCCACTGAGATTCATAATGGATGCACTCAGAACATGTAGACAGAGCATAAGGGGACTGGGCAGTGGGGTCATCAATCAGTTTCTTGATGACCTTTTGAATGTGGGAGTGGTGTGTATGCTACTGACCCTGACCAAAAAAATAGTGCACTGTGATGCAGCCATGATGCCTCTTACCAAAGGGCTGGTGTGTAATATCAGGTCAGATGAACCTCATGGCAAGGGAAAGTCACTGTAGATCCATGGCTATGCCATCCTTACTGGGGAAAGACATATCGAATTTGGCAGAGGATTGCAGGGGCTAGGAACAGATGGGACATAAAATAGTAGGCTGCTGCAGAATTGGGGCACAGGGAAGCGGCATGATGGAGGCCACTAGTGAGTGCAGGATGGCGATGCAAATGATGGTGCATGTGGAGTCAATGAGGTACTGCTTAAACTGGTTAGAACCCAGGGTTAGCATGATGACCTAGATAACTTAGCTTGCTGGTCATGGATCAATTTGATTTCCTGGTTTAACACCTTCTTGGGATCATACCCACAGAACAATTCAGGGAATCTACATTTTGAGTTCAACAATAGATCACAGGGAAAGGAGAGATATGCACCAATTAGACAGACACTGGTGTGACTGAGAATCTCCTTCTCATACTGGCTTCTAACATCCTTGTCGTCCACAGGCTCTCCTGTCTTGGCATCTACCCAACCAACATGTAGAGTACCATCTTTGAGGTGGCTGTCAAAGTGCTTAATAGAGCCCATGATCCATGCCATGTTGATGCAACCTTCAATAGTGAATTCTCCATGAGCTTCCATCTCCCACTGAGTCTGTGAACTACACCATGGGCCAACTTTGGCAAACCCAGTTATGATGATGACTTTTTCCAAGTTGATGATACCATGTGATTTGCTGAGTTCCTTGAAGGCAGAAGCAGGTTCAAGAGTAGGGAGATTGAACTTGAAGTTAGCATGAGGTATGACATTGACATTCTGGAGTGCATGTTCTGCAAACTGAAGATGTTGAATGCCATCTTTTTCATGGAGAAGGTATGCACACCTGTAAGCTTTGACTTCTCAAGCAACTATATTGGTGGCATCCATCAAACCCATACTGTGGGTCCATCTAAGATGGTAGTTAGTTGTAGGTGCCAAGCTGGGTTTAACAAGTTATGCACCCTAATCACAGCACCAGCCAGGCATAGATATTCACCCAGCTTTTGGAGTTCCAGCAGTTGAACAAGGTTTCAAGCAAGATCTTGGACTCTGAGTACAGGTCATCATTGCCAAAGAGACCATGGTTTAGTGACAATGGCAAAATAACCTGGGTAGGCTGAGTAACGAGCTGACTGGACACTTTTTTGGTCTTGATGGCACCCAAGATCTGCAGCAAGTTGATGAGCATAATAATATGGTGAGCAAGCTCCAATTTGTTGTCCAAGCCATCAATCTCATGCCCATTCTCTGGAACAGTGGCAAATGGAAGGATGTAGTTGAGATCCATGCCAAGAGTAGCATAGATATAGTTGATGAAGTGCCTTGACATCCTGCTTGGACCCCTGATTGAAGGGCACATACAGTGAGTGCTGAACCCCAGGCACCAAACCTTCAGTAAATGTCTTGGTAATACTCCACAGTGCAGCAACTGTAGCAGGAAGTGGTGATAACAACATGGGCACTGCCAGAAATGAGGCCCTTTAAGATCTCAACACCAATGGAACCTTTTCTGACACCAGTGAGGAGAGTGTTCTTGTCCTTGAAAGTTGTTCCAGGCATGGCAATTTCATGAAGAATGGCATCTTGTTGGCAGATATGGATGTGATTATAGAGACCTGAGGTCAAAGAAACTGAGAGGAAGAACAATGGTCGCAATGACATTGATGGGGCTGGTCAGGGCCCCTCCTCAGGCAAATGGACAACACCTTCCTACAGAGCCTTGATATGGCTCTTCCAGTCCTGGCTGATTCTGGGTTATGAGTTGATGACTGTCCAGAGTTTGAGGACATCTTATCAAACCTTTTGAATGTTCATGGTAGAGATCATGTCACTGCTGGTCATTTCTTCCACATATGCTTCCATTCTGCAAACATTCACATGAACAACCTCAGGAGTAGTGCATACTTGCAAATCTCTGTGGTTCAAAGATGAAAAGATATTATTAGTGGTAAGGTAATAAATGAACCAAAGCAAGGAGGTGACTATGGTCAAGGGAAAATAACCTTGTATGCCTGTATGGATCTATGAAGTAACTGAAAATGTTGTTATTTCATGGGCTAGACAGCTTGTTGAATCCTCAATACACTGACTGATCAGAAGGGGGACTTGTCAGTTTCAAATGAAAGGGTTTCAGAAGGACAATGTACTGAATAGACCTGTTTCAGAGGTGCCCTGCCACTTTGTGCATCATTTGCACATGAAGGAACATGTCAGTGTTGAATTGTGTCAACAACGAGATACTTCGCCCATGGTCTTGTATGATCTGGATATAGAAGGGTGCACATGAATGATCGAGTGGACTGAAATAATTTCAGATGATCTGCATGGTTGCACACATACCCTCCAGAAGTTGAGGTGGCTGTCCTTCCAGATGCCATTGCCCAATCAGCCAGGCATCATATGGCTGTAGCAAGGCCAAAGGGAAGGTTTCTTCACTGACAACACAATTGAACAAAAGTACGAGTCACCCAAATATGTCTTTCTCCTGAGTCTTGACAAGCACACAGTCATAACAAGGACATCCATGGAAGTTAGGATGGCAATGTAGATAATCCATGTACTGACACCAGTCAATGGTGGACCTGAAGTTCACTTTGACAAAGTGATATTCCATGATCTTTGGTGAATATTAGAGATACCAGAAACTGAACAAAAATGACATTTCATCTTACCTTGTCATTCCTTTGGAATTGAATGGGCTTCCTGCTGAGAAGTGGCCACCCTATAATGTTGAAGTGTTTGTTGAGGAACTCACTGAGCTTTCCACAGAATTGATTGAATGCATTGTCAGTAACACTCTTCTTCTCGATGTCCTCAAACATTAATGGTTCTTTCACTTTGCTACCAAACTTGACATGGAAAAACTCCTCCTCAGGTTTGTCAGTAACAGCTTTGAGGTTATCCAGATTTGTCAGTTTTCCAGTCAACCTGTAAGCATCATATTCTGTAATCCTGCCATGAATATGTTCAAGAACCAGTCTGAGATGATTGACATTGAGAATCTACAGAAGTTTAGGCACACTGAATACTAACAAACAATTTAGGACATACTTGCTGAGCAATGTCCTTGAAGTTTGTTTGTTTTTGATAAGCTTCCTTCAAGGGGCCATGCATTTTCTCATTTGGCTTCATGTTGAAATTGTGGGTGACACCCTTGGCTTCAATGTCATCAAACATGTGCATATGGGTATGGTTCTTTGGAAAGTTCCAGTTTTTCCCTGTATGTTGTGTCTTCTCTGCATATTTCTGGTCTGGAAGCAGTGAGGGAGAGCTACAACATTGAAAGCGGAGCTGACCTGAATCAATGAATTGAAAGTAGCAAGTGCCTCCTGCCCAGCAGCAAGTGTGTGTGTCATATGTAATTTGAGTGCAGTATACATATCAAACTCAATGTAAGCACGCAGACAGCATAACAGGAGGTAACCATCTTTTTCCATCTCATGGGGGAAGATGTCATGACAGGCAAATACAATTATCTGTTCAGGAAATGTCAGTGAAATCAGAGCTTGGTAAGACACTTACAATACCTTGGATAGGTCCTCAAACTTTTGACCATCTGTGTATGAAACTGAAAGCGCTTCCTTGAAATGATTGAGACTGCACCAATGAGGCATTGCATTGAGACTAGTAAATTATCAGCATGACTACTTCATGCAACAAGATAGATGCACTTCTGTTCAACTTTTCCCCTTGTCTGATGACCCATTGTCTTGAGAATCCTTGAAAGTTCTCCCCACAAATGTCACCAAATTTTCCTGCACAGTTGGCATGGAGTCTATCCCAACACAATGCTCAATAAAGGTCCATGTTCCCAACCTCCCAGAAGGCACTCTAGAGGCAATTAGAGCTAGAGTGAAGGTAACAGCATGAGCCACTTACATCTACATCATGTAGTCCCTGTTTCACCAGAATTTATTCCTTGCCATCTGCTTGGGTCTGTGAGCATGCTTCCTGTAATGTCTTGAAAATGTTCTTGCTGGTATGACGTTCACAGTCCTCAGGGAATTTTGATATCTTGTTGTGATGGATAAGTCAAATGGGGCAAGAGTGATTTGACATCACACCATGTATGGGTGCCATGACCACTCTGAGTGACAAAGATTGTCAGCCTGCATTTGTGATATTTTGGGCAGCATATACACTTACTGCTCTTCATAATCAGCTGAAAGAATTAGTATGGTAGGAAAAAGTTGGCATGTGATGCCATCCCAACACCTTACCCAATAGCCAGTTTTCAAGTACTCTGATATTGTATCTAGTATCTTCTTGAATGATTCATGCCAAACACAATTCTTGAAGTTGGCAAATGATTTCTTTCCAGAGTACTTCTTGTCTTCCTTCACCTATTAGAAGCACAATACAGAAAATCAGCCAGTGTACTCAATGCTATCAATGAAGGAACTTACAATCAGTAACCACCCAACTACATGGCCACCACCTAAACCTTCACCATTATGGATCCAAGTAGGTAGATTCACAATCCATGCAACAACTGGATACCCTTTTTGTTGACCAAATGACAACAACTTGGCTTTATCAGCATATAAAACAAATGCTAGAACTTTGCCATCCAAAGGTAGATTACTCTGAAAAAAAATTGTCAAAGTTGCATGCAAAGACTACTAATGACATACTTGTACATCCCAAAATTTGTTAGCTGTCCATGGCTCATTGATGAAATGAACAGATGAAGTGCCATTGAACTTGGATAGGTGCTGAGCATCAAATACAAAATATGGGCCCACACCTGAATCCTTCAAGAGATTGCAGGCCCAATCCCACAATGAATGATAATACATCTTAAATTCCATCATCTCACCTCCAAATGGTGCACTTATTATCATCATCTGAAACTGGGCTAGGATGTAATTAGGGTTGACAATGACAATGAATAGATGCCACTTACTGCTGTCATGCAGTGCAAAGCAGCCCACTGAGTGCTCTCAAGATCATTGTAATTATTCAGAGTCCAGTCCTCAGTGTGAGAATGTTTCAAAAGCTTGAGGATACAATTCACTTGCTCCTTGTTGAGAGCAGCATCATGGATAAATTCTGAGAGGTCAAAGTCGAGATGGGTTCAGAACAGGTACCATGGAGCAGTGCGTGGATCCAGTTTGTATGTCTTGGGTGCATGACCTCAGGTGAACTCAGTGAATGGCACTTTCACAGTTGGCTTTCCAGCATTTGGGAGGTATTTGACTCAGATATCATCAATGATGTTGATATCAACCTCAGGTTCAGCAACTGCATAACATATTGGCATGGAAAATATGTGATCACATATCGACATGCACCATTCAGTTCATCATTTGCACCCATGTCAGCTCTGGCAGGTGGCTCGAGATCCATAACCATGGGCCAGAATGTGGCAGGCTCTGCTAACAATTGTGAGAGTCCAATTTGGAGAGTAGCAGGAAACTTACCTGGTGCTGGCTCTGCATGCATCTCAACAGTGGGCCCTGTCACTGATCCACCAGTAAGAATGCCTGTTCAAATCAACCCAGTGGTAAATCAGAAATAAAATCAACTGGTAAAATTCCTATGTACCTTCTTGACAAAGCAAGTCAAAGTGAGCATGATCTTCATTCATTTTGCAAGCCTGCCTGATGCACAATTTGTGATGAGGTCCTGTTCCAGTTGGCTTGAATGTTTTCCCACATGATTTGCAGGCAGTAGTGTGCTTTTCTGGAGGCATACTACTGGTCGACAAAGGGAATGCATCCTGTGAGAGTAAAGACAGTAAATACAATAAAGAAAAATGAGTGGACAGTGAAGCAAGATGCAGACAATAGCAATTGCTGTTGCAAAGGGCATTGCGATGGCATTGCCAGCATATTGCAACTCCACACTCTCACATGCAATCTATCATGAACTGATTATCAACATGTAAAAATCTGACATCATTGCAATGGACCAAATAATTTTCTGACATTAGCCTGTCCAAGCTTGATGCCAATGCACTACTGTGCTGCATACTTGTGAATGAGGATGGGGAGATGCTGCAGAGACAGAGGAGTTGACAATGGAGCAATGGGTGGTATATGATCTTTAGACATCAAAATCTTGCATATAAATTATGGGGATCTATGTTGCATCTGTAGACAAGGTGCTTGCTATCCCCAATGGCCCTATCTTCTAGTGAATTTATTATGAGTCTGGTTCTACATAATAGTGTGGCTCAAAGTTGCCAGCAGTTTGGCTGTGGAGTCAGGTGTTTGACAGGTGTTTGATGTGAGTTTTTGGCCAAGAATGGCAGAATTCAAACTCTGACCACTCTCTGTTTCACTCTCATCACTTGTTGTCAACAGCCTGTTGCCCATGGAGTCTGATTCCTCTGGTCTCCTCCCAGCAGTGCAACCCTTCATATTGACAACAAAAGTGGTGGTGCCTCAAGTTCTCTGGGAGAAATCCTATGCTGCACAGACCAATTTCCTTATTGATTGGTGCAGGACCAATGAAACAGAATGAAAGAAGCTCTTTTTGGACTCCGCACAAGATGCATGCTTGAGAGGAAGGTAGGAAATAAGCAGAAAATGCAACATGGGAGGGGTGCCATCTATGTTGAGATCATGAAGGCAATCTTTTCAGTGTCACAAACCAAATGTGGACATGGTTACAACTGACTCTGCCTAACTTGTTGATGAGTTGTGCACAGTGCCATGAATGGAGATGAAGACTACAGCCCTCAGGTGTAGAAGGACTGCTGGATGTTAGCAGTCATCCTCTGCACAAGAATGAGTGATCAGTGCTAGAGAGAGAAAAGAGGAAGTGAGTTAAGCACCCATCAAAAGTTTTTAGTGCCTGATGTGAGTTAAAGTGTGGTTCAGTGGTGTAAACCAACCAAAAAGCAATGAAAGCAAGTGGTGGTGCACCTATGCAGTACCTAGATGGCAGAAGGTCTTATTCAGGTGGGTTTTTGTGAGTTCCAACACTCAAAGATGAGTGCTGAAGGTTGGGGGTGCTCCTGATGAAGAGGGAGAAGGAAAGTGAGAGGAAGTGATGGGGTAGACTGCTGTCAGCCTACAGAAGGATGGAGGACAACTTAATTTGATGTTATAGGTTATTCTGAGCCCAGGAAGGGCTGGATGCAAAGATAATTGATGGTAGGCATCAATAGGCAAAGTAGATGATAGTTAGACTCTTAATAAAGCCTCAACTAATGAGGCTGATGAAATGTGAGCAAGAGGGGCTCTCTGATGTCTTCTTATTGTCAGCTATCTAAGTACAGTGATTTATATACAGTACAGGGATGTTGCCTATGGAAAACAAGGTGCAAATGCTTGGTAAGTGATTGGTAACTGATAAGTAAGGAATGTAAGTGGTGGGTAATTGACTTAAAAAGCATTGGTGAGCATTGGTAGGGATAAATAAGCCAAAAAGCAAAGAATCTGTAAGCAAAGTCAAAAGATTGGTAAGTATTGGCAATAGGTGAGTCAAGGACAGTCAGAATTTCAAAGTATGAGTCAAGCATTGTCAGAAACTGAGTAAGGATGCTGAAATCACATTAGGGGGAGGCTGTGCATGTCACATCTCAATGGAATCACTTCTAGGCCAAGGTGGGATGACAGAGAGGCAGTGCTGATCTGATGTCAATATAGGACATCCAAAAGGGGATAGCAGGTGTCAGGTGTCAAAGGGGGTCAAGCTTTGGGGGTCTGTATGCTTCTTGGACTGGAGAGACTGAAACAGCCACATAAGAACTTTCTAACCAAATGACAGACCTGAGGCAACCAAAGAACATCCTTCTGGAGGTCATACTGACAAAAAGAATGCACTGTCCAAGCTGGATGGGCTGAGACAGGGCAGTTGAGGATGAGATGTACCAGGATGCTTCAGTGTTAAGTACAGGTTCACCCTCAGGTGACCAGGTGACAATGGCTAAGTCTGGCTGACCAAAGTCAAAGCCAGGAGACAGGGGCTAAGTCCAGGTGGGCTGGAAGTAAGGCTAGAGGTCAGGGGTTAAGTATGGAGGACCAGACTTAAGGCCAGGAGTGCAGGAATAAGGCTGGTAGCATGGGAAACCAACTGGTCTTGGAGTGCACACAGGGGGAAGCTGGTCTGGGGTTGGATCTACCTCCCTTGGTCTCAGCTTATGTGCTGTACCCTTATGCAAGCCAGGGAGAGGTCTGGGACAGGGGCTGGGGATAGCTTAAGGCTCGGCCTTAGCTATAGAGTAGACTTGAGGGGTAATATGGAGTTGAGGGTGATACTAAATTGATATTCTGACTGAGGGTGCTATGAAGTATGTACAGGGGTTAAATACATGAGGCCAGTCCAGGGTAACAAGCATAGAGCCAGACTTGTTGATAAGCTATTAGAAAGATGATTAGCAAGAGGACAGCCACAGAGGCTGTGCTGAGACTAATAGTCAAAGTCCAGGTGACTGGCATAACCAGGATTGGACAGAGGTTTGTACAGTAAGCAAGATCAGCAAAGGGGACTGGACTAAATATAGTACAAACAAAGGAAAACAGACCAGAGTTATGTCTGGGTGACCCAGACATGGACCTGGGAGGACCAGGGTGGAGCAGCACAAGGCTGGGAGGCCAGAGTGGACTGTAGATAGGGGTAAAACACTGGACTTGAGTTAATTAGGCCAGAGCTGGGTTATCTAGGACTGGAGTTGTGTTCTCTAGGCCAGAGTTAGGTTTTCTAGGCTGGACTAGGTCCAGACTTGACTGGAGTTAGGGACTAGGGGTCTGGACTGGACTGGGACTGAGTCTGAGAGTCATGGATATGACATTCAGGACAGAAGCTAGTAGGAATTCCTGGTAAATATACATAGCCATGGTACATAGCAAAGGGGACAAGCAAAATGATTGAGGTGGAAGCAGCCATATCAGAAGAATTAGTGAAATGAGTGTCTGTTAGAGAGAGTGCTGTAGAAACATGTGTTATGATACATACTCTTTTTCCTTTTCTTTCCTTTTCTTTTCATCTTATCTTATCTCTTTGGACTCAGTCTGGACTTTGGTCTAGACCTTGCCTTGCTGCTACCACATGTTCCCCTTCTAGTATGTTCTGCTGTCACACACCAAAGGTGCTGTGGACATGGTTACAGCTGACTCTGCCTAACTTGTTGACAAGTTGTGCACAATGCCCATGCCATGCAGATGAAGACTAAAGCCCTCATGTGTAGAAAGACTGCTGGACATGAGCAGTCATCCTTCACACAAGAATGAGTCATCAGTGCTAAAGAGAAAAGAGGAAGCAAGTTAAGCACACATTAAAAGTTTTTAGCACCTGTGTATGGCATTCTGGTTTTCATTGTATCTCCACCATTTCCAAAGATATTGACTCTGTTCTCACACTCACTTAAAGTGCTCAGCCATGCAATTCTGCCTTCCAAATTTGGAGAGGATCCTCACACCCTATGCATTTCTACAGCACTCCATCCATCAGACACTCATTTCACCAAGTCCATCAGATATGGCTGCCTCTTCATTGATCATCTTGCTTGTCTCATTTGCCAGAGACAGTGGCTACATATATCTGCCAGGTATTCCCACCAGCTTCCATCCTGAAGCCCCCTGGTTCATCCCATTGTCACCAGCCCCATCTCATCCCATGCAGCTTGGTCAGCATGTTCTCCTCATCAGTATGACTTCCAGAAGGACATTCTTTGGTTGCCTCAGGTCTGTCACTTGATTAGAAAGGTCTTATGTGGTCATTTTGGTCTCCCCTCTTGATGAAGCATATGGATTGTTCCTCCCTGCTCCATGCACCATCTTTATTCCAATCTCATCTGTCATTCTTCCTGTGTTGTGACAGCTGCAGCATAGTCTACTGTTCTCCAGCCTCCCTGATTGCATCCATGATGAGTATGATGTGCATCTTGCCTTCTTACTGCAAGATCCAGCAGAAGACATCCCCCCTTCTCCTCCTCCTTCATCAGAGCCCCATTCATGAAGCTTTTGTTAACTTTGCTGAGAGGATGAAAGGGTGGGAGATGCAATCACATATGCTCCAATTGCCCCACAGACCCCCAATGCCCTAGCCCCTTTGATGCCTGGCTCATGCCCTTCAATTCTGGAATTAATACTTCCCTATCTGGAAACACTGTCCATCTGT